AGCCAGTGGTATATGAGTTTCCATTGCTCCACATCATCTTCAACATTTGGTTATCAGTAGACTTTTTAGTTTTAGTCAATATGGTGAGCATACTGTGGTTTTAGTTTGCATTCCTCCAGTTATTTATGAGGTTACGTATATTTTCATGTGTGTATCAGTCACTTGTATTTCCTTTTATTGTGTGCCTAGTTACATCTTTTGTTCATTTTTTTTTTACTGGGTTCTTTCTTTCCTTCTTTCTTTCCTCCTTTCCTTTCCCTCCCCTCCCCTCCTCTCCCCTCCCCTCCCCTCCCCTCTTCTCCCCTCCCCTTCCCTCCCCTCCCCCCTTCTCCCCTCCCCTTTCCTATTGATTTGTAGGAGTTTATTATACTGTGGGTATAATTCCTTTGGTGGTTATCTCTATTGTAAAGTCTTCTCCCACTCTGGCTTATCCTTTCATTCTTTATAGTTTAATGAACTATATATTTTAGTATAATTAAAGTTACCAGTTTTTCCCCTTATGGATAGTACATTTTATGTTTTGATTAAGACAACACTTCCTACCACAAAGTCATAAAGATATTTTGATTTTATGTTATACAACCTTTGTAGTTTTCCTCTTACGTGTGTTTTCATGTGTGTTTCTAATCTATTTTGGAATAAATTTTTATGTTGTGAGATAGGTGTCTAATTTCATTTTTTCCCCATACAGATATATAAATGGTGTCTCAGGACCTCCTACAGAAAAGTCTGTCCTTGCTGTATAAGTGTCCACATATGCCTGGGTCTGTTTGGGGGCTCTTGCATCAGTTTTGTATTACCTTCATTCCTACAACTTTAAAATATGTCTTGATACCTGGTAGAGAGTTTGCTTTTTTCTTTCCCCCCGCCCCCGCCAAGAATGCCTTATGTATCCTTGGCTCTTTATGTTTCTATGGAAACAGTTTTACAATCAGCCTGTCAAGTTCTACAGATTTTGACTGGGAGTAGATTGAATCTATAAATCAATTTGAGGAGAATTAATATCTTTACATATTACACTTCAAATCCATGATCATGATGTATATCTCCATTTATTTAGGTCTTCTTTAAAGTCTCTTAATAATGTGTTATAATTCTCCTTAAAGGGGTCTTTGCATAGTTTTTGTTAAATTCCAGCATACTTGACATTTTTTCTGCAGTTGTGCATGGTGTTTTATTTCATTTTTTAGCTTTATAATGTTGGTATATGGATGTACAATTACTTTTTATGTGCTGGTATTGTATCTTGCCACCTTTCTTTTTATTGATTTTTGTAATTTATCCACAGATTCATTTTCTACATGTGTAACCACAGCATTTGCAGTAGCAGCTTTGCTTTTGCTTTTCCAATCTCTATACCTTTTAGTTCTTTTTCTTATTTTACTACACCAGGATAAGTTTCATTAGATGTGGTAGCATCAGGCATTCTTGTCTTGCTCTTATCTCAAAGAGACTGCTCTCATGTTATTTGCATAGTTTTATAAGTACCCTTTACCAGATTTTGGAAGTATCCTTGTAGTCTTAATTTTCTAAGGGGTTTTGTTTGCTTTTTAATCATAAATAAATGTTGAATTTTATCAAATACTTGTCCTGCTTCTTTTTAAATGGTCATATGGTTTTTTATTTTAATCTGTTAATGTAGCAAACTTCATAGATTAAATTTTTTAGTGTTAAAACCACCTTGCATTCCAGAGATAGACCAAACTTGCTATTTGCATCTTTGCTCATAAATGAGAGTGACTTATAATTTTCCTTTCTTGTATCATCCTTTCCAAGTTTTAGTATCAAGGTCATGCTATCATAAAATGAGTTAGAAAGTAAGTCTTTTTTTCCTACTTGCTGGTGCAAATTTTATATAATATTGGAATTATTTATTCCTTTAATATTTGCTAGAACTTGCTTGTGAGGCCATCTGGGCCTGGGATTTTTTTTTTTTTTTTGGAGGGGGGGATAATTTTTAATATAAGTAACAATTTTAGGACTATTCAAATATTTTTTTTCTTTGTGACCCAGGTTTGCCTGACTTATCTATATTTTTTAATCTTTTAGCATAAAATTGTTCATAATACCCTCTTTTGCATTTAGCATGTATAGAATCTATAGTTTTCTCTCTCTTTTCATTCCTACCATTGTTTACTTATGTTTTATCTCATTTTTCTTGAGCTTTCTAGAGGTTTACAAGTCTTTTCAAGGAATCGGTTTTTGGCTTCAGTGCTCTATTGTATGTTTGTTTTCCGCGTCATCAGTTCTGTTCTTTTGGTTTTCCTTCTGTCTGTATTTTTAAGGTTTATTTTGCTATTCTTTCTGTAACTTTTTTGAGGTAGATGTTTATTAATTCATTAATTTTAGCCTTTATTATGATTTATCTTTTGACTCAGGTTATTTAGAATATTATTTCTTAATTTCTAAACACATGAAGATTTTCTAGTTAACTTTTTGTCATTGCTTTCTATCTTGAACTGTGGCCAGAGAATTTCTGATTTCAGACCTTCAAATTTGATTGTGGCCCAGTGTATGATCACTTGTTATGAATGGTCCATGTGTGCTTCAGAAGAAATGTGTGTTCTATGGATGTTGGGTGTAGGATTCTATAAATGTTCATTAGGCCATATTTTTTTAATCCTGCAGTTCAAATCTTGTATATTTCATAGATTTTTGTTTTACCTGTTTATTCTATCAGATACTGAGAGAATTGTCAAAATCTCCACTACTGTTTTGTCCTCCTGGTGAATTGAAATTTTTGTCATTATGAAGTGAACATGTTTATCTCATATTTTTTGCTTTAGATTCTGTGTTGCTTAATATAGCTGTACTTTCTTTTGATCACTATTTTTGTGGTATTTATTTGCCCATCCTATTACTTTCAGTCTTAATGTATCCTTGTTTTATGTCTCTTATAACCAGCAACTTGTATTGTTTAAGTCCAGCCATATAATCTGTCTTTTAACTTAAGCATTTAGTCCATTTGCATACAATATAATTACTGATATATTTGAATTTATACCTTATTTTAGTCTTTTTGGTTTTTTTTCTCTTTTTCCTCCCCTCCTCTTTTTGATCACCCTCTGCCCCCAACTAGTTTGGGAGCTATGCTCTCTGTTTCTGTTCTTTTAGTTGTCTCCCAAGAAATTATAATAGGGGTCCTCAACTCATTATTATTGAAGTCTAACAGTAATCATTACCTTCTCTTTCCTTCTCGTATAAGTGCCTCGGGACCCTGTAACTCCATTTGTCCTCTCCTGACTCAAATGCTGCTATTGTCATGTGTTTTAGCTCTTTGTATATATATTTAAACCTCACATGACATTATTTGTTTTAGGTAGTCAGTGTTTGTATAAGTTTACCCACATATTTATTACTCTACTTTTCTTAGCTTTTCCGTTTTTTCTTGCATCTCAGACCTCTCTGTGATCATCTTCCTTCTGCCAGAAGTACATCTGTTGGCATTTTCTTTACTGTTGATTGGCTGGAGGTGAACTCTCAGTTTTTGGTTGTACAATTACTTACCCCCCCCCTCCCCGAAACACATTTTAACTGAATGTTGAATGCTTGGTTAATATTTTAGGTTAGCAGATATTTTCTTTAAGCACATGTAAGATATTCTAATGTGTTCCAGTTTCCATTATTGCTTTGAGAAGTCTCTCATCCTTGCAAGTAATCTGTGCTTTTTTCTTCTTATGGCTTTGAAATTTTCTGACTTTGTTTTTCTGCAGTTTTACTATGATGTGATTAGATGTAGACTTTTTATTCATCCTGCTTGGGATATGTTGGGTTTCTTAAATCTGGAGATCAGTGTCTTTCATTATTTCTGCAAATTTTTAACTGTTAGCTCATAATATTGCTTCTACCCCTATTCTCTCTTTACCTTCTGAGGCTGTGGTTAAATGTATGTTATACATTTTTTCATTTTATCCTTCGTGGTTCTTACAGTCTTGTTTGTATTTCCCACCATCTTATTCTCTCTGCTACATTCTGAATGATAAGCCTGTCATCCATTTCACTAATTTTCTCTTCCACTGTTACACCTGTCAACTGATGCCCCAAAATTCTGTGTTAGGTCTGCTTTGGTTCTTTTTCAAGTCCTAGTTGTGGTTGTGTTTTTGTTCTGAAACTTTTTGGGAGTCCAAACATGTATAAATTTTTACCCTAATAAGTTATTTGGGAAGTGAGCAAAGCTGCTGTGGTCTTTCGTTGGTGAACTACTCCTGTTTTCAAGATGTCACTATGTAGTTTTATCAGTTCTTAGGTGGTCCCCTTAAACTTTATTTTTATTTAAGTGCTGCTGCTGTATACTCCATGATATGGAGTATTCCAGATACAGTGCCTCAAACTAATTTAACTGGTTAATTAGGGGTATGAGACCTAAAGCAGAACTGTTAAGACTCAGTGCTCTCACCATGTCAGTGATGTTACCCAAATTTACTAATCACCTCTGCTGATGACAGTCATATTTTAAAGTTAAGTGGTGTTTTAGTCTGCTCAGGGAGGAGAGAAGGAGAGGAAGAGAGAAGAGAGGAGAGAGAGAGGGTATGTGAGCTCTGTGGTGTCTCTTCATGTAGGGACACTAATCCTATTGGATTAAGGCTCCAATCCTTAGGACCTCATTTAACCTTAATTACTTCCTTCTTAGAGGCCCTATCTACAAATACAGTCACACAGGAGTGTACAGCTTCAGCATGTGAATTTTGGAGGGACACAAACATTTAGTCCATAACAGGTAGTATTTACATAATGGTTTGAGGGTTTTATGGTTTATAATTATGTTACTTCTGCTGTCTCTACTGCTGCTAGTAGTGAATCACTTCCCACATATTCAACCCCACAATTATTCAGCAAGTATGTAAGGAAGAGAATTAAATTTATTCTTGCATGTGTTTCTGTACTTTACAAAGTTTATTGGTGAGGTTGTACATTTCTCAGCTAAATTCTAACCAATCTGTTATAGTTAAGTGAAAATCTTCACCTTATTTACACATTGGCTTTATTTTTCTTTATCTTAGCTGTGTTGGAGTAGAAGAACATCATGCTGTTGACATTGACCTATATCACTGTCCCAACTGTGCAGTTCTACATGGTTCCTCCTTGAGTAAGTACTAGAAGCTTAAATAAAAATTGAACTTTAGAACTTAATATGTACATGACAATACTTTAATGATACTCTGACTAGTTATATTATACCCACCAAGAACTATAAGGAAGATTTTTCTGAAGATGTTGAGAATACAGTTTTTGTTTGAATTATTAAATAACTTATTTAACAAGTCAAAACATTAAGTGAAAAAAATACTATCCTTCTTAACTGCCAGTGCAAAGCCCCCAAACTCAAATACATATTTTCAAAGCTTTCAATTTGCGAAGTGCAATAAAGTAAAATTTTTCTGATTCTGGCTGTTTTTATCTCTATAAATTACAAAAAAAAAGAATGGTAACTAGACTTATCGTAGTGATCATTCTGAAGTGTATAGAAATATTGAATCAGTATGTTGTGTGCTAGGAACTAACACAGTGTTGTTGGTCATTTATGTTTCAAAGACAAATAAACAGACTCATAGAAAAAGAGGTCAGATTTATGGTTACCAGAAGCAGGGATGGGGGAGAGGATTTGATGAAGATGGTCAAAAGGTACAAACTTCCAGTTATAAGATAAATAAGTACTAGGGATGTACAACATGTTAAATACGATTAACACTGCTGTATGTTCTTTATGAAAGTTGTTAAGAAAGTGGCTCCTAAGAGTTCTCATCACAGGAAAAAATTTTTTTTTCCTATTTCACTTATTGTATCTACACGAAATGATGGATGTTCACTAAACTTACTGTGGTCATCATTTCATGATGTGTGTCAGTCAGATCATTATGCTGTATAACTTAAACTTATTCAGGGCTGTATGTCAATTATATCTCAGTAAAACTGGAAGAAGAAGAAAAAATCTTCCAGTACTATTTGCGACAGTGAACAGTATAGGATAAGACTTTAATGCACACACGTGCATTATACTTCTAGGAGAAAATTAGGGCACCGATATGCTAAAGTACTACTCCTGTTGTCCGAATTAGGTCATGCTGTTGCATATGGCCTAGAGTCCTGCCCAGCTATCCTCTGTGATGGAAGCAACTTCCCCACAGTCCCCGTCCCACGGAAGGCAGAAGCCAGACCAAGTCTTTGCCTGCACTCTTCTTGAGGCGTGAGGGCATGGGCAGGGAAGCTCACGTGTCCTCTGGAGTACACCAACAACACATACAAAACGATATTATTGTTAGCCTTTTACAGATGCTTTAGAGGAATAGATGGGAATATTAATTGTTGTACAAATATGAGAGTAGAGAAGAGATTTTAAAGACTTTGGATTGTAACTATTTCTTTTCTTAAAAATTTAGACTGCATGCTAGCTTTTTTGTGTTCATAAAATTAAAGAGAAAAACTGTAGACTTAGTCATTTTAGAACTGAGCTTTTCCCGAACATACCTTGATACACGCTTGGGTCAGATGTAGGTAGCCTATACAACCTCTTTATTTTGAATGCAGCCTTTTTCCTAATATTTTTTTAAAATAGAAATTTTGTCCTGAGGTTATGGGCAAGTGATCTTTTCAAAAGAGACTTAGGAGCAACTGACTGCTTATCTGTTTTGTTAGAAATATTAATAATTTATCAGTTTCTTTCTAAGAGATCTAACAAATTAAGCTCTATGAATGTATTAAAATATTTTTTTGTAAAATACAGATTATCCTTTTTGTTAGTTACGCAGTATAAAATTTGAGGTTAGCAAATTGGTAGAATTGTTACACGTGTAATTGACTAATTTGTTAATATAAATGTTTTTAAAGGTTCTTATTTTGTGTAGCACTGAAGTATGTAGTATATAACTTGAAGTAATTATTGACCAAGTGTAATTCTTTGAGGAAATAAATAATACTGGGTTGTTATGTCAAGAAGGGAAACAGAATTTAGAATTTAAGTAAATAACCCCAAAATGAAATAATTTGAATTTAATTTCCATGAAATGTTAAAGGGGTTACTATGAATCAGAATAATGTAGTGTTTAAAACACTGTTGCAGGGACTTCCCTGGCGGTCCAGTGGTTAAGACTTCACCTTCCAATGCAGGGGGTGTGGGTTCGATCCCTGGTCGGGGAGCTAAGATCCCACATGCCTCACAACCAAAAAACCAAAGCATAAACAGAAGCAATATTGTAACAAATTCAATAAAAACTTTAAAAGTGGTCCACGTAAAAAAAAAAAATTAAAAAAAAGAAAACACTACTAAATGTAATGCACTCTATTTTCTTTTTTCCTATATGATTTAATTTTTTTAAAAGCTTGTCATGCTCACTAAATTGATTTCACAACCCATAATGGATCATGACCTGCACTTTGAATAACAACACTTCAGAGGGAAACTTGACTGTTACTTGCCCCTACATATGCTTCTCTTCCTTGAATAACATAAGATCAGGCATTGGCTGTCTTCTGGGCAAAAGTCCAACTCTAAGTACCCTTTAGGAAAATGCCCAAGATCCAGGAATCTGTTTTATCTTGATTTAAGGCTCCAATGCTTCTCACCCCTCACCCTCGCCCCTAATTTGGGTCATACCTTTTGGTCTTAAGCCTCTTCTGCTTGCCACCAACGATTTCCTGTTTCTTTGAGAGCTCCCCAGGAATCCTTACTACAGATACCATTGAGACAGTATAATATCCATAAATATGGTGAATTTAGACTTTACCTTCTTAATGGGAATTAAGAACTCTGTTCGAGGTCCAGTGTCAAAAAAACCAGCCTGATACTTAAACACATATTCTCAGTGCTCCTCAGGCACATGCACTCTAAACTCAAAATTCTCTCTCCATTCCCTATGACCATTATTAAAATGTTCTTTCACTGGCCTCCTTCCTTTAAGAAATTCAGTCAGCTCTTGCAGCGACTGCTTTTATGTGTTAAGGATGTTGGCCCAACAGGACAGTGTAGCCTTCTGTTAAAATCCTGCAAGTCAGCACATTTAAAAGAAAAGAGAAGTAATTGGCAGCATATTGGTTGCCCCAGGCACTATGCTAAGAAAAACTAGACCTATGTTATCTCCTTTGATATTTGTAACACCTTGATGTGAGAAAAATTATCTTACTAGGTCTCTCATGTAGCTGTTTGGCAGAGCTGGAGTTTGAACCCATAGCTGTCCAAGCCCAAATCTGTTTGAATTCTAATCTGTTCCGCCAAAATGAAAATTAAAACAGTGTAACATCATTGTTTATTTTCAAGTAGGCAGTCTGTTCTTTCTCCCTCTTTTTCCCTCCCTCCCTCCCACTGTTGACCTGGGGCTTTTCAAATAGGCTGCTCATATATATTGGTAAGAATGTGAGTGAGTTACCACTTTTCTGGAGGCAGGTTTGCAATATATAGCAAGAAACAGATTTATGTATATAAATATTAATTTCATCTTTATTTAAAGATGCGTCTACATTTACATCTTAAAATTCTAGGCTGCCTTTAAATTGTTCTTGAATATTTAATAAGGAGAAAATGCCCACGATAAGGAAGGTAAGCAGGATAAACATTATGATCCCAGTTGAAAATAAAATGGGGTTATGTATCTATATATTTGTAGGAAAAAAAAGCCTGGAATGAAATACCCTTGAATTTTAGAATTGATTTTAAGTGAGAAAAAAAAAATAGTAACACACAAAGGACACCTTAATGGTATTTTCTAGGAAGGTTGCTTAATGATTGTCAGTTTTTCCGTGACATTTTTAAAAAACGGGATTTACTCTCTTCCATCTTGGGGGTCTGACGCCATAAATTACTTGAGAATCTTGTTTTAGACTCTTAGATATGAATAAGCCTGATTTCCACCCCTATTGATTATTTAGTGTGACTTCTTATCCATATGAGGATCCAGCATTATTTTATTATTATGATCTTTGTAAGGTGAAGGATTTGAAATAACTTAGACTCATAGAGTTGTGTCCTTCCCCCAAGGTTTTATTATGAAAATCTTCAAACATACAGGAAAAGTTGAAAGAATTTTACAGCGAGTACCTCTAAACCCACCATCTAGATTCCACTATTAACATTTTATATTACTTGCTTTATCTCATATCTGTCTGTGTAACGATCCCACTGTCTATCCACCTTATTTTTTGATTCATTCTAAGTAAGTTATAGACATCAGTACATTTCCCAGAATCATGGAGGTTTTAGGCTTAAAAGTGATTTTCAAACTTAAAAGAAAAAAAAACAGTAAAACTGAAATCTTACATTGATACCACACAAAAGACATGTAGGTGGTGCCCCTCTGGGGGAAAGAGGAATGAGGTCCAGAGCTCCTACCTCAACCTCATCTCCATCTTCCCTTTTATTAAGGGTTCCTCAACACAGTCTGAAAAACTGTACTCATTCCCTTCATTTCCACATTGAGGAAACTGGACCCAGACACGTTAAAGAGATTTGCCCAAGGTTGCAGAGCAAGTTATGACTAAACTAGGAGTCAAAGCCAAGTGTCCTGATTTTGGTTGCTGTGCTTATTCAAGATTGTAGCCTCCGGGGCTTCCCTGGTGGCGCAGTGGTTAAGAATCTGCCTGCCAGTACGGGGGACACGGGTTCGAGCCCTGGTCCCGGAGGATCCCACATGCCGCGGAGCAACTAAGGCTATGCGCCACAACTACTGAGCCTGCGCTCTAGAGCCCTCAAGCCACAACTACTGAAGCCTGCGCGCCTAGAGCCCGTGCCCTGCAACAGGAGAAACCACCGCAATGAGAAGCCTGCACACCGCAACGAAGAGTGGCCCCCGCTCGCTGCAGCTAGAGAAAGCCCACACACAGCAACAAAGACCCAATGCAGCCAAAAATAAATAAATGAAAAATAAATTAAAAAAAAAAAAAAGATTGTAGCCTCCCAGAGCTGTAGAATCACGGGACCTGAGTGTTAGATCTGACCAGAGGTTATTTATTCTGTCATCTTAATTGTCCTCCTTTCGCTCTGACGCAGTCACCTGCTATTCTCTGTGTCAGTGTAACCATGCTTATTTTGGGAATAAATCCTGACATAACAGAGAAGGGAACTGTGCTGTTGAAATAGATTTCTGCTGTGGGATCAAAGGCCCTGTCCTGAGGGGATGATGTGGATGATCCATAAAAATCGTATCGTGACCTAATGTTCTAGTGAAAATCATGATTTTAAATAATTGTGAGATTTTATATGTGTAAATGTGGATATTATAAAAGGCTCAATCTGCTAATTTGAATTTGTTGATTTAATTTTAAAATCATTTTTGAAATAAAAAGAATTTTTAAAACCCACAGTTAATTGCCTATAATTGCAGCATTAAATTTTACTTCTTCAGCCTTAGAAATGTATTAAAAAATGTGAGTATTATTGTACTCGACCATTGTTGTTTCTGATTATATAGACTATAATTGATTATAGAAAGTACGTAGTACCACCAGTTACAAAAATGCTTTCTTTTTTTAATCTTCTAAAAATCCAGTGAAAAAGAGGAGGAACTGGCACAGGCACGACTACACAGAAATTGATGATGGTTCCAAACCAGTGCAGGCTGGAACTAGAACTTTTGTGAAGGAATTACGTTCTCGAGTCTTCCCAAGGTAGGAAACCTGTTATGACCAAAGAACATTTAAGAATGTTACCCAATAAGGTGACATTATCTAAAGTAGCGTGTTCATACTTCAGGTTGCAAGCCATTATTATTCTTAATCAGTTTTTTACTTTTTGAAAATAAAACAGAATAAAAATATTGGTACATTGCAAGTAATAGGAGTAAATAAGCATAGTTTCATGGAAACTTTGTTATGTGCATGTGTACTGGATTACTGGGTAAAAATGTATTTAACTGTAGGTCTCAGTCCAAAAAGTTTGAAAGACACTGATCTAAGGCACTTATTCCCGTGCTTCGTTCCTTATGTTGTGCAGCTGCTGCTTCTCTTTCTCCTTCACCTCTTTTACACCTGTTTTCATACTCTGCTTTTTTCTTATGTTATTTTCCTATCTGCCTCCACCCTACGTCTGCCAGAAGTCCCCACAACCATTGCTTAGCCTCTGGTGGCAACAGGACTAGGCTTTTTTTTTTTTTTTAAAGATAATGGAAAGTATTTGAGTTATCTGTGGCTCAAAGAACAAATGTCAAAAGCATTATACAGCATTTAACCATGCTAATTTAGATCATTTCCTACTCGCTGCCTGACATCTATTTAAAGTGATAATGCTTAATAGGCTTTTTACACGAGATCATATCCAGGCTTGTTAAAAAGGGGAAGCACAATTTAAATTTCAATCACAATATCACCTGCAGCCTATTATGGAATTATTTCAGATCATGTAACTATAAAACTCTTCCTATTTTGTCATAGTCTTTAGGATACCTGGCCGTTCCCCTCCCTTAAACAGAAACATAAATGATAAGCAGTTACTGTTGGCTCCCTCACGTACTGGCAGAAAAAAAAAAAATGAAACACAGTGATCGCCACGTGATTTTTGTGATATTAAAGGCCTTATTCTCAGATATTCTCCTTTATGAGTTTCAAAGTCATTGGAGAAATGTCTGTTTATTTTCATTGATTGATTTGGCGCCCAGGGCCAGAGTTTTCAGCCAGGCTCTATGGGCTGGCTTCAGAGAGGCTTGTGAGTTTCCTAAAATTGTGTAAACAGTTGACATGTTGACATGTGAATGTGAATTTTTCAGGGAGAGGAGCCTTAGCTTTCGTTTTTTAAAATAGGTTTGTAACCCAAAAGTGTAGTGTTAAAAGTCCTGGCCCAGTGATTCCCGTGGCTTCTCGGCCGAAGTATTAAACACAGATGTGAGCAGGTTCCAGAGGCGGTCACAAGTGTCCACACTGTACTCACCACTAGTTAAAGGTCTTTGGTTTTATTTAATGTAACTCTATAAACCTCCACATCATTTAAAACCGTGGCAGGGTGACAATAATTAACTAAATTATACATACTTAATGTGATTAATATAGAAGTGTATAAAATAAAGTGAACTCCAACTATCTACCCCGACCCCCCCACTTTAAGACAAAGTCTTTTGAGACCCTTTTTTACATAAATGATAACTTTTAAAACATTTATATGTATAGGTGTATGGATGTATATATACATCTAATTTTAAAAAATAAAATGGGGTTACATTATGCATATGTTGTGCAACTTGCTTTTTTTACTGTTATGTTTAATAGGTATCTTTCTGTATGTATACACAAATTTACCTCACTCCTTAACTGCTGTGTAGTATGCAATTGTGTGTGTGTGTGTGTTGTGTGTATGTATATATATCCCGTAATTTACTTAACCATCCCACTATGGTGTATGTTTAGTTTGTGTCCAGTTTTTTCCTCTTGTAAGTAATGATGTGCCTGTATTTTTAAGCACTTGTATCTACATATTTTTGATCAATGGGGGGAGGTAAAGCACCAGACATTTAAGATGGAGGAGTACAAGTGACTTAAGATTCTCCCTTAGGTTGGAGTTTAAGGAATTGTTAAATTCTCAGAGGTTGGGGAAGAAGGAACACTTGTGGATGCTTATGGGGAAAATAAAAGGCAGTACAGAACTCAGTGAGTCAGGTGAAGGAGCTCTGAGCCCTCCACTTACAAGACTATCCAAGAAAAGTCTGTCTTGATTTTTTTAGGCCTTAAACTGACCTTCTGTTATTGAGAAGGTGGGAAGACCTGAGCTCAGTAATTCAGAGACCCAGTTTCTCCTGTCTTCTCCTTGACACCTAGGCTACAGATGACATCAAGACTGTTAAGATCTGACTGTATAAATGGAAACTGTTGTGTTTAACCTATGATGCAAGTGTTGCACTTAACTTTGAATGTATAGCAGCTGCATTCTGTGAGCAGTTGGAAGATAAAATCTAGAATATCCCCATTTAAAGAGATCTTTGATTTGTGGTTAGATAGGGGATAGTGAAAAGGGACAAACCACACTTAAGTGTAATGCCTAGAATGTGTTAATCGTCAAAGAGGGCAGCTGGAGGTTCAGCAACCCTTTTTAGTGGCTTAAGGTGACTGCGTGTTAAAATTTATTAAATACTGGTGATAGCAGATCTTTGAAACCAGGAGTTCTCAGTTGGGGCATTTGGACATTGTCTCAAAGAGTAGGGACCACAGACGCTAGTCATCCCCCAGTGTGCAGGACAACGTGAATTGTTCTGTGTCCGGTGAGACTTTGCAATGCCTAACAAATATTTGTGTAGACTTTTATAGCCAGATAAAATCTGGTCTGTTTTTACTTATCCTAACCAGCTTTTATTCTACTGTACCCCCTCCCTTTTGCTCTTCTGGTTTTCTATGCAGCTTGTGTTGAGTGGCTTCTGATCTTGTTACTTTTAAATCCAACCACTCGTTACAATCAATTGTAAGCATCCTATTATTCTGTTATATTTTCTAGTGTTGTTTACCTGAACATTTACATATTGAAATACGTATTTTGCTGGAAACTAATTTGTTTTTTCTCTTGTTATAGTTAAGGCATTTTATATAATACATATATATTTTTCCAATTATATGTAGATTGAAGTAATTATCTATGACTTTTACTTTAGAATACTAAAAGGGGCTTTATAAAACATTTGTTATAAAAAGGAGAATTAGGTATGATAGGTTGAGAACCACTGATGTAGATAATAATGTAGTATATGAATTAACCCATTACCAGATTATCTTTCTTAACTGAACTTATCAACAGAGATGACATGTTACTCTTATGCTTTCCTTAGTGCCGATGAAATCATTGTAAAGATGCATGGCAGCCAGCTGACACAAAGATACCTGGAGAAACATGGGTTTGAAGTCCCTATTATGGTCCCCAAATTAGATGATCTAGGACTCAGGCTCCCTCCACCTACTTTTTCTGTTATGGACGTGGAACGTTATGTAGGTACGAACTTGATTCCTTTAATTACTTGGGAAAACATGGTAAAAGTGAAATTGGTATTATCCTAAAAATACTAAAAGTTGAATGAAGAGATGTTACTTTAGTTCCGTTTCTGGGTCAGGAAAAGTGAAATTCAGTATTACCTATGTTGAAAACTATTTTTTTCTCAGCAGACTTACATTCAGAAAGACAAAAAAAACATTTTGCATATTTTTATTTACTCCGCCTCATCCTACTGCTTTTGTTGTTGTTGTTGTCATCAAATTTACTGATACGGGCTTCCCTGGTGGCGCAGTGGTTGAGAGTCCGCCTGCCGATGCAGGGGACACGGGTTCGTGCCCCGGTCCGGGAAGATCCCACACGCCGCAGAGCGGCTGGGCCCGTGAGCCATGGCTGCTGAGCCTGCGCGTCCGGAGCCTGTGCTCCGCAACGGGAGAGTCCACAACAGTGAGAGGCCCGCGTAACGCAAAAAAAAAAAAAATTTCCTGATACTTGCTTAGGAACAGTTATTATGGAGGGGTAGCTGCAGACTGAGGAAGAAGACTTTGGGAAATCGGGGTGGTTCTAGGCCTCTGTAGCAGCATTCAGGTACAAGATCTCTGGATCCTGCTTTAGTGACCTCCTGCTGCCTAGAGAAAGGCTGTGAAAAAGAGGAGCTCACTTTCAAACCTGTTTTTATATTAATGACTTGGTGATACTGCCATTTAACGATGCCTGGACCTAATTTTTTATATTGAGGCCCGGAAAGGTATAAGAAACAAGGTGGAAGACCCTTCACCTGTTGCAATATTGTTGACATTTTCAGTCACTTTTTTCATTCGCATCAGGGTATTTAGAGATAAAGCTGACTCTATGTAGGTCTCATTCCTTGTCAACAAAACAGAGATTATTTGAGGATTAGATCTCAAATCTATCTTGACTCAAACTGTCTATTCTTTAGAGTATGTTATCTCCTGAGCATGAAGTATCTGAGAACTTGTCCCTTTATTGATCCATTGGTTGACGTTGATAATTGTTTCACTGAGGAAGTCCAATTAAATTGTCTGACTTCACATTCAGCTGGTTTTGAATTATTTGATAAATTAGAGGATGAGGCTGAGGTTTCACCTAAACCTGTTTACATGGATAGCACTGTAAAGTAAATGGCTAGTGTAATATAAGTGTAGGAAAAACGTTCATAGTACTTGATAGCTAACTTTTTAGTACTGCAGAATGCTTCAGTTAACAGAATTGTTTTGCCTCGTAAGTATAAAATAGTCTATTTAGCAATACTTTCTTAACTTATATAAAGTTACATTAAAGTAAGAAAATGTCACTTGTTTCCTATTTCAGATTAAGTATTGCCATATTTTGAATTTCACCTTATCCTACAGGACATTGTAAAACTAATTATGCTTTTTAGGGTGATGCAGTGTTGAGCAAGCAATACCTCATGATTTTATAGGAAAATTGTAAATTAATCCCAATTCAGAGCGCATTTCACAGGCCCTAATATGAACTGGTTTTTGCTTCCTAACCACTCATTTTTTTCTTGAAGCAGAATATTAGAAGAGAAGACACTACCAGGCAAGCAGAAATTGTTTGTCCTGGTTAATTTGTTCACTAATTCCCCAATGACCGATTGGTTTCCCAAAATGATGGACTCAGAATCTTAGGTGTTAAAGAAGTGAAAGGGAAAAGTCAGTCCCCTTATTTTATGCATGAGGAATGCGGCACAGTTGTTACCTACCAATGTAATATGCATTTTTGTCGTGAGCTGCACAAGAAATCATTGGTGTGTAGAAAGCTTTGTAAACATATAACTTTTTACACTCAGTGTTGATTATGCAGCTCTGTCTTAATTGCTTTATTCTTTCTTTCAAAAGTCATCCCTTTGTTCAAAAGTTCCAGTTGGACTTAAAAAGTATAGGAAGAATCTTTGTCTAGGCTATATAGTTTTTATAGATGGCTTAATTATCATACAAGTAAATATAGTCTTTAAAATATTTTTGTGTAGGGCGTCTATTGATGAAATTCTTAAGCGCAATAATGAGACCATAATTTTTCTCTGCAGGTGGTGACAAAGTGATAGATGTCATTGATGTGGCAAGGCAGGCAGACAGCAAAATGACACTTCACAATTATGTTAAATACTTCATGAATCCTAACAGACCAAAAGTGTTAAATGTGATCAGCCTTGAATTTTCAGATACAAAGTGAGTAGTTCTGGACGTTTTGGTTTAGCCTTCTGAGTGTTAGCTAAAATGTAGTTAAATGATGAATTTCTTTTAGTAAAAAACGTAACTGTGACTTCTAAAGTGGTCCAGTGATATAGCTATGTTGTAAATTTTGCTTTGGTACCCTCAGACTTTAAGTATTGCTGTTAGCTGTGAGTTCCAGTTAATTTCTTGGTTTGGGTTGAAATGGGAGATGAAATTTTAAGAAGTTTTAATTTGCATGATGTGGGTGTGTGTGTACGTGTGTGTTTGTTTTTTTAAAGGATGTCTGAATTGGTGGAGGTTCCTGATATAGCCAGAAAACTTTCCTGGGTGGAAAATTATTGGCCTGATGATTCAGTCTTTCCCAAGCCATTTGTTCAGAAATACTGCTTAATGGGAGTTCAAGACAGCTACACAGATTTCCACATTGACTTTGGTGGGACTTCAGTTTGGTACCATGTCCTCTGGGTAAGCTTGGGGTATTTCTTTGTTCACTTAATCACAAAAACGTACAGTCTTATTTTTCCATGGGTATATTCATTTGCTATAAATGACGTTTGTAAAGAGGGAAGTGTTTTGCACTTTTTCAGTGGGAGCTATCATTTTAAATACTTAAAGAAGCATTATGATTTTCTTTTTTTAATCCCAACTAATGGAGGAGCCATGAATTCTTAATTTATATAGATTCCCTTTTTTTTGCCCCCATCTTATAAATTAATCTCTTTTAGCCTTTTGTCTCTTTTTGTTTCTTCTTCCCCCTAGTCAGTTAGCAGTTAATCCCTGAATCTAATACCTGAGAAGGAGCAAAGTTATAGTAATAATTGCTTCTGACCTTAAGGTGAGGCTAAAGCCAGCTAGTTGGATAAGTCAGGAATGCCCATACAAATACGAATTCTCCTCAGGAGCTTATATTCACCTTGCTTTATCTAGAACTGTGCTATTCCGTAAAGTGGCCACTCGGCACATGTGGCTACATTTAAATAATTAAATATAATTTAAAATTCAGTTCCGCATTTGCACTACCCCATTTCAGGTGCTCAGTAGCCACATAGGGCTCATAACTGCTATATTGGGTAGCACAGATATAGAGCATTTCCATCGTCACAGAAGGTTCTTTCGGGCAGTGCTGATCTAGAGCCAAATCTTCGTCAGTATCACATGCCTGTGCATCAGCAATGCTCTGGACTATGTTTGATGCTGTGCCCTTGAGCTCCTCTTCCTTTCCTCCGTGAGAAAGCAAAGGGTTAGTTCATTAAAGAAAGTTTATTCACAGATCTTTAAAAATAATTGTATTATTATATGTCTTAGGAGAAAGGGCAAAGTTTGCAGAGATGACCCTCTGTAACCTGGGGCCTATTAACATGTATTTACTTCTCTACCTTGAAAATGAGATCAGTAGGATGTTTGTGATGCTTTACCCTCCTCTCGTAACTATTTCTCCATCCCTGCTTTATTGACCCCTTGTCATATTTGAGACGGGAGCCTTAGCTCCTTTGAAGATGCTTATTAAGGGCAATAGCTATTGATCAGGTATGTGAAATATGTCTTTTTGAGCCTTAAAAAAATCTGATAATTATCTAATTTAATTTAGAACATTGTATTGGGAAATTACATCAATATAGGCCATCCTAGAATGGCATTTCCTTTTTCAAAAATAGTGTGATTACTTCCTCCTAGGGCGAGAAGGTTTTTTATTTGATAAAGCCAACAGATGACAATTTGGCACTCTATGAATCTTGGAGTTCATCTGTGACCCAGAGTGAAGTGTTCTTTGGAGATAAGGTGGATAAATGCTACAAATGTGTGGTAAAGCAGGGACATACCTTATTTGTTCCTACAGGTAAGGTTTTAATCCCATCCCGCTCCCCATAGTGGATACTCATCACATGGAGTCAGCTTTTGATTGAAATCTCTGACTTTAATGTGTTTGGAAAGTAGTTTCGCATAGCCCGAGCGATGATTCTGATCTTGGACTTCTCACTTCTTTGTGCCTTAGAGGGCTTCTCTTGTAGTCAGGACTCGTTTTGGCATTGTGTTTTATGTCATTTGCCTTCACTTTTATTTTTATTTAGAAAAATTCATCTACCATAATCCTCACCCTTTTAAAGTGTACAATTCAATGGTTTTTAGTAGATTAACAGGGCTGTGCAACCCTACCCCTATCTAATTCCAGAACATTTCATCACTTCAAAAAGAAACCCTATGCCAATTAGCAGTCACTCCACATTTCCCCCCCTCTGAGCCCCTAGCAACCACTAGTGTGCTTTCAGTCTCTGCGGATCTGCCTGTTTGGGGCATTTCATATATAATACATGGCCTTTTGTATCTAGCTTCTTTTAGTTAGCATCATGTTTACTAGGCTCATCCATGTTGTAGCCCATGTCAGTGTTTCATTGCCTTTTGTGGCCAAATAATATTCCATTGCATGGATGTACCACATTTCATTTATCCCTTCATCAGTTGATGGACATTTGGGTTGTTTCCACTTTTTGGCTCTTACGAATAGTGCTGCTTTGAACATTTGTGTGAAAGTTTTTGTGTGCAGGTTTGTTTTCATTTCCCTTGGTTATATATACCTAGTAGTGGAATTGCTGGGTCATATGGTTTAATGATGTTTAACTTTTTGAGGAACTGCCAAACTGTTTTCCTAGTAGCTGCACCATTTTACATTCCCACCAGCAATGTACAGGTGTTCCGATTTCTCTACATCCTCACCAACACTGTAGTTATCTTTTTTTATTTTTGTCATTCTAGTGGGTGTGAAGTACTTGTATCTCATTGTGGTTTTAATTTGCATTTCCTTAATGAGTAATGATGCTGAGCATTTCTCTTATTGGCCATTTGTATATCTTCTCTGGAGAAATGTCTATTTAAATGCTTTGCCCATTTTTATGTTGGGTTGTCTTTTTATTGTTGAGCTGTAAGCATTCTTTATATATTCTGTACACTAGACCCTTATCAGATATATGATTTGCAATATTTTCTCCCATTCTGTGGGTTGTCTTTTCATTTTCTTGATAATGTCCTTTGCATAAAATTTTGATGAAATTCCCTTCAATTTTAACTGGTCAGCTCTACATTGATGTCAAAGGCCCAAGCCTGCTGTAAGAATCTGGGCAGCTGTCCTGGGGCAGTTAGGAGGCAATGAGTCTGTTTTGAGGGACCCTAGGAAGGGATTGAGTACCAGCCTTAGCTATAGCCTCAAGTATAGGTATCAGGTCTGTCATTTTGAGACGTGACTAAATGCAGGGTATGGACTCTCCAGGTCAGTGGTTTTGAGAATTGTGTTCTTCTGATTTGGGTGACCTTAATGGCTACACAGTTTGCAAGGATCTGTTACAGGCCCTGCTTTCTTACCTTGCCTCTGGAGTATATAATAAGAAGTATGTGTTGAGCAAATGAATGAATCAATGCCTGGAACTACCAGAATTTATAAATCTAGATACGTATCAGTATTTTCACTGTGAATGGGCTAAGCTCCTCCCTTAAAGCCCCTCCCTTAAAGCCCCCCAAAGCTCCCTCTTATGACAGATATTTTGTTATGCCCACTTCAAAAATCTTGAATTCACATTTATCATTAATATAACCTCCTGCACCAGTAATTCCCCCCCATTGATGTAATGACCTAATTAGAATATAAAGAGGAAATTAAAAGTAATTTATAATAATACACCATTTTACAATGTCCCTGCTCAGGCACAGCAGCATTAGAAGTCAGGATGATGCACAGGCCAGCTAACCAGTACAGGCGTGTAATTGGTAGTTCAAAGTCTGTAGCTCTGGTGTGGATTAATGGTTCTCAAACATCATTGACCATCAGAATCACCTGGAGGGCTTATTAAAACACAGAGTGCTGGGCCTTAACCCCAGCGGTTCTGATTCAGTAGCTCTGGGGTGGACCTGAGAATATGCATTTCTAACAAGTTCCCAGCTAAGGCTGGTGCTGCTGGTCTGGGGACCACATTTGAAGAACTGCTGCCGTAGATAGTGTGATTTTTTTTTCCCCCCCCAAGGTAGTTGGCAACTGATACACTTCCTTCAGTTTACAGGCTACCTAGTTATATTCCTAGAAAATTGTGCCAAAACCATGCAAAAGATCCTTGTTTCATATGAATGGAGTTATAGTTTCTGGGCTCAGACAGTTAATAACAGATTTTGCACCTATCTGAATGCCCAGCAGAAATTTGAAAGTCCTGACTAATGGAGGACAATTTCTTACTGTGTGGAACTGTCCTGCATGTTGCATCCCTGGCTCCCGCTTGCAAAATGACAGTAGTGCCTCCTGATCACTGTGACAAAAAAAAGCCCACCAAACTGTCTAGATCACACTCTACAGGTGGTACTGCCTCCATTGAGGACCACTGATCTACAGAATTTGAAGCCAGCAGAGACTTCAAATTTGTGATTTCAGGGTCAAGCTCAAGGCCTTTGAGCACACACGTGGTCACCACTTGAAAGCCAGTCTTGGGAGGAGTTTTTTGATATTGTGTTACAGCACAATGAGGGATCAGAATATGAAAAGTATAAGGAAAATGGGATCTGTCTATTTTAACAGTCAACTTTTACATGCAAACGTATGTGTGTATATTGATTTATGTTTATATGAAGTCTTTATGTTCAGTCTACGGACCTTTCTTTCAAAAGTTTAGCATCATCTCAGAAATGAGCCTCACTTTGAAAACATTTTTATGGGAAAACATTTTGACTTTGTGGGAAAATATCATTTTGATTGCCAGCATTTATATTTATAGGACCATAACCCTGCCTAATGAAATGTGGGTGATCTACTTTTTCTTTCTTAGAGGAAGGTCCCAGGTTGAGTTCCATTGATCCTCCTCTGCTTGGTCCCTAAGGACACTTGTTTCAGGATGACACTAGGGAGGCAAAGCGTCCAGCCAGTCCCGTTGTTCATTTAATGAAAACGCGCTTGCCTCACTCTAACCAGATTTGACTTGTCTCAGAGTAAAATCTTTAATATAAAGTAGATTGTGTTTTTAAGCTAAAAAACTGAAACAGCAACAACCACAGAAACCTTCACCTATCCTGCACCGTAATTTTGTCTAATTGGGTCAATCCATTTATCTTAAACACAGCACAGAGGCTGGCATATAATAGGCATTTAATACATATTTGAATCATTGAACCTCTAGATGGTAATAGACATTAGCTTCTCTAGCACTGAAGTATGAGGTAAACTGATTTTGATATTTTGTGTTTCTTAAAATAGGTATATATCACATTTGTGTGGTTTGAATATTGAAAAATCACTGATTTATATACTTTTAACCATTTCAGGGTGGATTCATGCTGTGCTTACTTCTCAGGACTGTATGGCTTTTGGGGGGAACTTTCTGCACAACCTTAACATTGGCATGCAGCTCAGGTTTGTGTCATCAGTATTTAAAGGATCTTTTGTCCTTTCTTAAATAGGACTTAGTTCTAAAAGTCAAAAAAAAAAAATTCAGCAACATGCTTAATTGAGATCTCATGGAGATAGGCCCTGAGAAATTATTGGGAACTTTTAACAAAAGTATTGTCTTAAGATTTTGACAGGAGAACACCTTGATGCTTTTCTAATCTAAAACAAAAAGAATAGTTTATTCAATTTGAGATTAGGTATCTCCCCAAATTTCAGACTTTTGTAGAAATGGATAGGCTCTCCTTTGGCTATTTTTACAGTGAGGGAATTGAACTAAAACCAGTCAGACTCAGGTGTGACATATGCTGCTGGGGCAGAGCAACCCTAAGTTAGGATCGTTGTCAAAACACCTGCTTTAATTTTGCTGTGGTAAAGGATTAACAGCTATTTCCCCTTCTGCATGAGAATTTGACCTTTGGGTAATAACTTCCCCTGGTAGCCTAATGAGAGAAGACTGTTACAAGGCAACATTGCTTATGGTAAAATGATTCCTGATTGATAAACCGCATCAGTACTGGCAGAACTAGAAATACCTAGTAGGAAGCCATGTCTTTGGGCTTTCCTGAGTGTGACTGTTATAACTTGGCCTGCCCCTGGGGAGCCCCGGAAGCCATGCATCTGTGGAGTTATTACAAGAGATTCTGGCTCTTATGGGGGGTATGCAGCTTTAAGCTAGGGCAGCTCCCACACTTGCCAAGTACGAATCTTGTTTCTTTATACCTGAGCTGTCCCTGGGGAAAGACGGCTCCTGGCTGTGTGGACTGCTGCAAAGACTCCCACGGAAGACTCACCCTGTGGCGAGCTGTGGTTTCTCACAGGTCTTCTCACCTTGACCCTTGCCAAGTGTGGTCCTGAGCTTGAATGCTTAGTAGAGCCTAAAGAAAATGCCGTGAGAGGGTGTTGCAGTGCTGTCCAGCACAGGCAGCCGGTTTCTAAACACATCGTTCTGTTTATTATAGTGGAAAATTCCTTCTGTTAAAACTAGGCTACAGATCCCAAGGGGTGATCTTTTTGAAGCCCACTGTAAATTCTTCAGTATCCTGTCAAATCTGTTAAGGGCGGACCTGAGTAAGATCACAGCTCAGTCTTACCCACATGTGGTGGTGGCGTTGAGCGATGTGCACTACTCGATTGGTCTTATACGTCGTGGGCTGCTTATTTTAGTTAAGTTGATTGTCTGCATTTAACTTTGAAATGCTAATATTAATATTAAATTTCTTCAACTCTTATTTATTTAGGTGTTATGAGATGGAAAAAAGGCTAAAAACACCAGATCTTTTCAAATTCCCTTTCTTTGAAGCCATATGTTGGTTTGTAGCCAAAAACTTGCTGGAGACCCTAAAAGGTAATAAATAATCTGTAGATTTTGTTGTTTCATATGATGCATGATACTTCTAAATTCACTAAAAGCCACTCATAGAAAGAGAGGTTCTTTTTAAAATGTGGTGTGGCTATTGTCCCTATTTTGTTTTTTGTTTTTGTTTTTTTTTTGGTGGTATGCGGGCCTCTCCCTGTTGTGGCCCCTCCTGTTGCGGAGCACAGGCTCCGGACGCGCAGGCTCAGCAGCCATGGCTCACGGGCCCAGCCGCTCCGCGGCATGTGGGATCTTCCCGGACCGGGGCACGAACCCGTGTCCCCTGCATCGGCAGGCGGACTCTCAACCACCACACCACCAGGGAAGCCCCCTATTTTGTTTTTTAAATGCATTATTTTCCTCTGTTCAGAACCTTTTTAGCAAATTAGAAAATCTCTAGTCCTTAGGCATAAAAATCAGATATATGAAGAGCTGCATCAGAACCACATAGGTAATATTGAAAAATGTTCCTTTCACTGGGACTTTAGTCATCTGCACACAGTATCAGGCACGTAAAAGTGCCTCACTAACAAAAATGCAGTTGAAGCCAAGGGACTGTTACCTAGTATTTGTTCCCAAACATTTGCTTTTAAAAAATCGAGGGAATAATTTTCATGTCCTGAGTGAATCAGGTGGTGTCTGTGCCATTACCATTATGACCATTATGTGGCCAGTATAAGGCACCTGTTGGCACAAACCAGCTAGTGTCAGGCTATGCATCTATAGTTGAAGAAAAATGGTTCTTTTCAAGGGAGGTGGGAAATATATCCCTTTAAACTTGCAAGGTACCACCTCTTTTATGTGGAATTTCAGATTTTGATGTTTTATTACTGGTTTAATAATCTTTGAGCAGTCAAGTTGGAGACTCACTGTAACTTCCACTTTTATCTATTTTTTGCTTTTTGTGCACTTATGCCCATGAAAATACAGTCCATCTGGTTTTTGTGTTGTCTAACTTTCCTAGTCAGTTTGCCAGTAGTGCTACTATATTTTTTTAATTATTTAATTAATTTATTTATTGGCTGCGTTGGGTCTCGTTGCTGCACGCGGGCTTTCTCTAGTTGCGGCAAGTGAGGGCTACTCTTTGTTGCGGTGCGCGGGCTCTCATTGCGGTGGCTTCTCTTGTTGTGGAGCACGGGCTCTAGGCACGGGGGCTTCAGTAGTTGTGGCATGCGGGCTCAGTAGTTGTGGCTCGTGGGCTCTAGAGCACAGGCTCAGTAGTTGTGGCACACGGGCTTAGTTGTTCCACGGCATGTGGGATCTTCCCAGACCAGGGCTCGAACCCGTGTCTCCTGCACTGGCAGGCAGATTCTTAACCACTGCACCACCAGGGAAGTCCCAGTGCTCCTATTATAATTAACTCCCAGAAGAAGAGATATAAGCAGATTAAACAATAAAGTCTAGTCTAAACATTTGGGGGTCTTCCCCATTTAAATGTTACACAAGAAGAAAAGGTAAAAGGAAAAAAAACTACCAATAACTTATTTCCCAGGATGGCATGCACGGAATTAAATGATAAAAATCATTTATGGTTTCTTTCCTTAAAAGGGGGGCTGGGGAAAGCTCACTTTCTTTGGAAGGAAGGAGCAGTAGAACCCCGTCTCACACCTTGTAGCACTGTGTAGAGGTAGGTGTCTTGACAGTGGTGCAGCTGTACAGGATGGAGGTGGGATCGCGTGGATGGGGAGGAATAGTGCTCTCGGGTATTTTTCTTGGCTTCAGGGATGTCACAGTAGATCCATAGAGTTGCAATATATGATTTTCAGTAAAATACTGGACAGTAAATTTCATAGTCCCCTATTCGAGTAGAAGCCTGGGAAAATAGGAACACTTATAAAAACACTTACAAATGTCCTTATTTTCTGGAAATAAAACCCAATTACTGAACTCTCCAGGTAAGAGATTGGCAATTCAATATTCAGAAAATTCAGAGCACTTTTTCCATCTTTCTATTCTCACTAACACATACACGTACACACACACACACACACACACACACACACACGCACACACACACACACACACACACACTGACATACATACACACCTGGGGTAATGCTTTTTCCTTAATGTCTAAGAGGGGCTCATCAGTCGACTTTTTAGAACAAATTAAAAATTTATCTAAAAGACAAACTCTTGCTGTTCCCCTTGCAGCCACAAGCAGCAAATTGTTCAGTCTTAAAATAACGATTTAACCTTTGTTTTAGACCATTGAGAGTTCAGAAATATTGAGGTCTCACTGAAAACATGAACCTATACATTAAAAACCTAAAAAAAACCCCGATTACTGTAAAAGGATATTTGTAGGTGAGGTTTTAAAATGTTTCCATTTTGTCATCTATATCAGTACAGGCTACCTGGCAATATTAGTGAGTCAGTCCAGTCCCACTAAGGCTAGAGCCAGATGACCACTATACCAATTGCCATTGTCTTAGGATTCATCCTGGAAGCAGGAATGGTGGTCTTGTTACCCCGCATTATGTTGTTTTTTTATTCCTGACCCTTTAACTTTCTACTATGGCCTGTTATCTTCCAGCTCAGGCTGTTAATAAGGTTTATATGATGGGTTAAATAAGTGTGGATTATATGAAACTCTTAACTGTGTTTAGTGTTAGTAATAATAAAACAGTGAACCAATTTTGGGTTCATGTAAGTAAATTAAACACTGAGCAGAAGTGAGATCTTTTGCTTTTGTTTCACCTTACCTGAATTTAAGACCACATCTAATATATTTTGCATGAGTTTTAGATAATCAATTTGGTTTTAAAGCCCAAAAGAGACATTTGTATGTGTGTATGTGTATTTGCCTTTACAATAACGTAGTATGTCATGCCCATAGTCAGTTGTGTAGGTCACACACTGCATACACATACTCTCTCGTACAGTTGAAAGAACTGCACAGCTGTCACTCAGGTCAGCTCTACCCAAAGTAACCAAAAACAGCCTTGCTGCTACCTTAGAGAGGCCCAGTTATTTTTCCCATTGCACCCTCCTCCTTCCCTTCAAGAGAAAACCACTATCCTGACTTTTGTGAAATCCTTTTCTTCAGTTTTATCACCGTGTCGCTCACTAAACTAGTTTAATTGTGTCCATTCTTAGACTTGTTGTGAGTAGATCCCTGCTGATCCTCTTGTGGCCTGTCGTTCACTCAGCCTTACGTGTGTGAGCTTTCTTTTAACTGGAGCATTTAGTACAACTACATTTAATGTAATACTGTTTCTTTTTCTTTCTCACCTTTTCAACTGATTGTTTATTATTTCTCCATTAACTTGTTTGCTCTTTGGTGGTTACTCAAAACCTAAAGGTAATCCCTTTGTCGCAGAGCACTAACTCCTTTTCCCCTCAACTTCATTGCCACAGAACTGAGAGAAGATGGTTTCCAGCCTCAGACTTACCTAGTACAGGGAGTGAAAGCGCTGCATACTGCTTTAAAATTATGGATGAAAAAAGAAGTAAGTAGTTGTCTTTGGTGAATTAATTGTTAATTTTTACATGGCAAGGTCAGGAAAACAGAGTCCTTATGTTATTTTGGAGTAGTAGAAGGAATGGAAATCATGCTTTAAGTACAACCTGCATTTTATTGGACAGTATATACAAATGTGCTGGTTTATGTTTATATTTATGAGAATGAAGTACCTTGGTATTTCTTTTAACCTCAAAAAGAAAGTAAAGTTGAGTATATCTAGGATATTGACTAAGAAATGAACATGTAGATATAGAATAATAATATATAACTTTGAGCTCACATAGTATGCTAACCACTGTGCTTAGTTGTTATATCCATAAACTCATTTACTCTTCAAAACAACTATATGAGGTTGGGGTACTCTTGGTATCCCCATTTTACATATGGGGAAGCTGAGGTTCAGAGCTTAAGAACTTGCCCAAGACAACTGGTGGAGCTAGGATTAAAGCTCAGTCTCTGCGTTTGCAAAGCCTATGCTGTTATGCCTCTGCTAGTCTTATGTAAGAACGAAGGAAAAGAGAGGTCAGGGTTCAAGCAGGAGACTTCCATTTTTCCCTAAAATGTGGTCTAGTTTGCATTTGAATCCCACCACCTCTAAGAGGTCATCCCAGGTCTCCATTTGGAAGCAGTATGTCCTTTCCTTATGCGTCCGTAGCATATCTCTTGTGCCAGTGGGCTTAAAAGTAATGTCCATAAAGTAATGTCTCCATGTCCTCTTGTCTAAGTTTATAAGCTCTTGAAAAACAGGGACTTTCTAATCTTCATTTCCTTCCTGGAACTTTACATACAATGTTTTAATAAATGATAAATAGTTGAGCTGATGAAAATACATTCCCATGCTAATTTCTCAAATGTCTACCTGAAATAAAAATCCCCCTCTTAAAAGATATTGGGAGACAGTAATTAATAGGTTACCCTCCCAATAATTTTATGCTCCCTTTCATGTTATTATCATTGCTGCATATCCATTAAGAGTAAGGGCACTGTGGAAGCATTCAGGAAAATAAAAATCATGTCTTCCAATGTCAAAGATGTCATCATCTAAATGACAAGTAAAGGCATAAACAGATTACAAAAGTATATAGTATATAAAAAGATAAAAACAAAATAAAGGGTATGTTGCAAAAACCATGTCATTCTTTTCCTTCTGAAGGCTGTAGACAAGTTGTTCTCAAACTTGTCTGTTTATCAAAATTGCCTTTAGAGTTTTTTAAAAATAAACTCCCTGCTTCTTTCCTGAGAGATTCTGATTTAATTGATCTGGGATAGGATCTGAACCTCTGTTTTTAACAGACTTTGTAGGTGATTTTGATGCACAGTAAAACTCATCAAATAATACATACTGTTAATTCATTGCATTTGAAGTGCACTTTTAAAAGCATGATGTTTGCAGTTAACTGTCCACCTTGCTCTAAGATGAGAGGTAGCTTAGCATAGTGGCTTAGAGCGTGAACTCTGGAGTCAGGGGCTTGGATTCAAGCCTTAGCAATGCTGCTAATAAACCGCTAACCTGTGCTTGAGGCCCTCAACTGTAAAGTGAGAGTCCTAATAGTATCTCTGTCAGAGTGTCGTTGAAAGGATTTATGAGTCAACACTCGTAAAGTACTCAACTGTATCTTGATGTCATTAGTTTGTTTTAACAAATTATGCTAAACCAAGGAGAGGATGTAAAGCAGAAGTAACAATTAGTACGTTAAGTGTGCCTAAAAGGTCAAAACTTTCTTAGATATACAGATTAATATTTGGAAATAGACATAATAAGTAATGACAGCAGTTTGCAGTTCAGTAGATATGGTAACTCACCAATTAATTCCTCTTTCCTGTGAATGGGATCTTTTCCCTATTTCGCTTTCAATGTGAAAAGAAAAAAACTTGGCGTATTAGATTTCTCATGAGAAACTAGGACTATTTTAGTGCCTGTGTTCCCCCTTACAGATCCTTACGTATTATGAATTAAATTTAGTTAGTTTCTCTACTAATTATAGTAGTAGTTAGAATTACAGTAGGCTTTGAGGTGTAGAGTCCATATAGAACAAAATTTACAGTAAGACAAGTCCATTTTTAACTCAAGGTAAGAGGATTTTATGAGTTAATAAGGATCTCCTTAGAAGATATGAAACCAACCACATGAGCTCTGAGACCTGACTTGTGGGTATTTGACCTTGTCTGTAAAATCTAGAGAACCTGAAAATTGATTTAGTAAATTAGTTTTTACATCTTAAAATGTAAGTAACTTTGGTTGTCTTATCTTTGTTAATCCAAATACAGCTTGTATCTGAACATGCCTTTGAAATTCCAGACAATGTTAGACCTGGACATCTTATTAAAGAACTTTCTAAAGTGATTCGAGCAATAGAGGTAAGAGTAGAAACTATCATCTAAATGCCTGGTTACTCTCTGCTTTGAGAAGCACTTGGATCTACCACCACACTGCAAACATTGGAAAGCCCTGACACTCTTAGAAGAAATAGAATGCACTGTGTCTTGGAAGGAGTCTCAGGTTTTCAGGCTCCCAAAGTCCTACGGAGAAATCTGGAGTATTGTATCATAGGGAAGTAATAAGGAAGCAGTTACCGGGTTACTTCAGGTTCTTCATGTTACTCCAAAAATAAAAAAAAAATACAGCATAAACAAAACTTTCAGATCTCCTTCATTTCTGCAATGCAGAGATGAATACATGTTAAGAAATGAAAGAAAGAGAAAAGGTAAGATGAGTAAGAGGTGGGTGAAACTGAATTGGAAAGAGGGATGACACAAGTAAGGTGGGGCAAGGAGATCCACTTGAGTGAAAATATTACAGCAACTTGTTTAGGTAAATGCCCTTTGATAAAAGCCCATGAAGTCTTAGATTAGGTGTTTTAATTTATTAATTAGAGCTATTCTAGGTATTAAAGAAAGGGGGTTTTAGTTAAAGGAATTCTTGAGGAAGGTGGTTCTGTTAGTATCCAGCTTGAACTGAAAGGAAATTAAGTGGAGGAATGGCGGCTAATTGACACAGCTCAGATTAGGGCTGTGTTTGGGGGAATGAAAAGAGGTGTACGTCTAAGAAATATTAAAATGTTGGGTTTAATATCCTTGGATAGAGTATTTCATGTAATTCTCAATATGTTCAGATACGGTAGGAAATTATTTTCTGTTTTTGAAGAGCTGCATATAAATGGATTTTTAAAATCAAAAGTCACATATTTAATCTTGAATATATATGTAAATGGATACATATATAAATATCATATATAACAACAACCAAAACTAAGAATAAACTCAATAAGAAAGGTGTAGGTCTGTGTGAAAAAAACTATAAATCTTTACTAAGAGAAATAAAACTATAGTTGAATAAGTGGGAGTGTCATTTCTGAAATATGTCAATTCCAAATTAGTATCACAAATTGAAAATGGTAAAATATACTTGGAAGAATAATTGGACAAAAATAGTCAACAAAGTGTTTTTTTGTTGTTTTGGGGTTTTTGTTTTTTTAATTGGAGGGTAGGGAGTACAGAAGGAAGCAAAATGGCAGTAGAAAAATGTACAAAGAAAATATAAACGGGTATTTCACCAAAGAAGACATAGAAATGGCCAATCCAATAAAAAGATGAAAAATATTCTCAGTATGCGAAAAAGTATTCAAGTACATTTTGCCACACAATTTATGATTTCAAATGATCATTTATCAGATTGGCAAAGATAAAATTCTTTATTTTTGTGCTGCTGGTTGGAAGTGTAAATAGTTCATGCTTTCTAACTGGCATATCCCTTGACTTAGCATTATTTTAATAAAGTAAATAAGAGGAATCCAATTAAACTTTGTACATGACCATACCTGTTTACCACTATCACCTCTTGGAACCAAAATGATAGTAAAAGAATAAAAAGCAATATCCCCTGAAGACAAAGAGAATAATAGAGATGAAGACTCCAACAAAATTTTGGAAGCTGGAAAGCAAATGTTCAAGCGATAACTGACTTAGCAGACCAGAGAGAGCTGAAACCTGTGTGGGCAATGGGAGAAGACCAGAGCAGATCTTATTTGTACAGTAAAACCTTCAAAAAGTTCAGCAATCAGGGAAACTAGGACCCTCTGAATATGAGAGTGGAGGTGGGGTTGAAAGCAGGATTGATTAAAGGTCTATTTAAGAAATAAATTGACCTCCAGATCCCTGCCTTAACACATGCAAAAAACTAGAGATTTAATTTTTTAGAGGTTGAACTTGAGACTGGACTTTGGCCACTGAACCCAGCTGAGGGAGATGGGTACCGTACTGAAAACAAGAGGATTAAGTGACAATCTGCATAGTGAATGATTCTTCTTCCACGTGGCTCCCCAAAACACTGGCAGTCTGGCCTGTACCTCCCAGGCCAAGAAAAAGATCCGCTGATGTTGACAATTTGAAACCTTCAGATGGAACAACCCAGATTCCTATAGTGAAACCCATCAGTTGATAAAGCCTCACTCACACAGAGCTCCCAATTAGCTTTTTCCTTTTTACATACAGTGAAACGCACAGGTCATGAAAGTACAATTCGAGTTTTGGCAAAAGTATATACCTGTGTAACCCTTACCCCAGTTGAGCTAAAAATCATCTGCATCACCCCAGAAGGTCATTTCTTGCCCCCTTCTATTCAGTCTTGGACTATCATAGCTACCACTGTTTGGACCTGTCCTGCTTTATCATAGATTAATTTTGCCTATTTTTGAATTTCAGATAAAGGCAGTCATACAGCATATAGTGTTTTTGTGTCTGGCTTCTTTAAACATAAGGCTTTTGAGATTCATTCACGTTGCATGTGTCAGTAGTTCTTTTTCATTGCTGAGTAGTATTCGGTTAAATGAATATACCACAGTTTATTTTCCATTCTTCTGTTGATGAATATTTGGATTATATGCAGATTTGGCCATTATGAATAAAACTATTATAAGCAACCTGTGTGTCTTGTGGTAGATATATGTTTTCATTTTTCTTGGATATACCTGGGAGTAGAGTTGTTAAGTCATAGGGTAAATGAATTTTTAACTTTATGAGAATCTGCCAGACAGTTTTCCAAAGTGTTTGTACCATTTTACACTCTCACCAGTAATGCACAGGAGTTGTAGTTGTTCCATATCCTTGCCAGTAAGTATTTGGTGTTTTCAGTCTTTTTAATTTTTGCTATTGCAGAGAATATGAAAATTGTTTCATTGTGGTGTTAGTTTACATTTTCCTGAAGACTGATGATGTTGAACACCTTTTTGTGTGCATGGCTGTCTGTATATCTTCCCTTATGAAGTATCTGTTTGAAGTTTTTGCCCATTTAAAAAATTATGTTGTTTTTATTATTGATTTTTAGGAGTTTATTGTATATCCTGGACACAAGTTCTTTGTCCTTTGGCATGCATTCATTCATGTATGTACAGATGATATATATTATATATGAGATATATACATATATATAATAGTAAATATTTACCCACAGCCTATGGCTTACCTTTTCATTGTCTTCATGGTGTCTTTTTTTTTTTTTACTTTTTTTCCCTTGAGATATAGTCCGTATGAAAACTGGTGTCTTTTTATGAGCAGAAATTTTTAATTTTGAAGGAGTCCAATTTATAAAATCTTTTTCTTTTATAAATAGAACCTTTTTGTGTGTCCTCTCTAAGAAATCTTTGCCCACTCAAGGTCTTGAAGATACTTTCTTTTTTTTCTAGAAGCTTTTACATTTAGGTAAATGGCCAATCTTGAAATTTTATACATAGTGTAAGGTAAATTAAGGCATTATTTTTCCCCATATTTTTATCTAGTTTTCTTAGCACCATTTCTTGAAACCATAGCTTTTTAATGCTTCCCTTTGAAAATGCATAGAAAGCCAAGAAAATTTTTTAAGACAAAGACCAAAAATAAGGATAAAAAGGGGGAAAAAAAAATATTCAGAGGAAACAATCAATAAGCAAATAAGTCTCTAGCCCAAAACCCAACCATAACTGATACCCTGAAGAGAGAAAAGAGTAAATAGTACCTCCATGAAAAAAGAACAGGAAGCTTTAACAAAGGAACATTCAAAGAAAAAAGAAAAGGAGCTCTTGGAAATTAGAAATAAAATAGAAACAAAATTTAGTAGAATGGTTGGAAGATAAAGTTGGAAAAATCTCTCCCAAAGTTCAAAAAAAAAAAAAAAAAAGACAGAAATAGGACAGAAAAATCAGGTTGTTTTACACAATCACTGTCAAAATAATGTGAGTTCCAGAGAGAGATAACACAGAAAACAAGATTATCAGAAGAATAATCAAAGAAAATGTTTTAGAGTTCAAGGACACACCTTCCCAAATTGAGAACTCTACAGAATGCCTGGTACAGTGAGTGAAAAAAGGCCTATTCAAAGGCACATTTGGTCACATTTTAGAATACATGTCATGAAGTATATCCTAAAAAGCATCAAAGAAGGAAGTATGGGTCATATACAAAGAAATGGGAATGAGAAGAATATCAGATTTCTCAACAGTAACATTACAGACTAGAAGGCAATAAAGCAGACTCTTTAACATTCTGGGATAGGAGGGATGCCAACCTACAGGTCTGCGTTCAGCCACGCTATAAGTCAACTATGATGGTAAAGATGTCAGAGAGGCAAGGTCTCCAACAGTTTACCTCCATGTTCCCTTTCTCAGGAGACTCTTAGAGGATGTTCTGGGAGAGAGTAAATCGAAAAAGGAGGAGCCCTGGAATTCATTCTTCCAGCAAATACTGAGTACCTACTATGTGCTGTGTCCCATCAGGAATCAAAGGCCCTGCCTGCATGGAGCTTAGTAGGAAGAGGCTGGCCGTAAATATTTTAATGACTCAGGAGTAAAGGAGTGCTCTGAAGAAAATAGAGGAGGGGAAAAGGGTAGGGAGTGACAGCCGGAGATGGGGGGGTGGGGATGGCAGCTTTATGTGGTAGAATGGGAGCAGGTCGGGAATGGCCTTTGGTATCATGTGCAGGCCCAGAGTGCAGCTAGTCCAGGATGGAGCAGGAGAATGAAAGGCTCCATATCAGTTGTTGATCTGAAATTCACATTTACCTGGGCATCCTGTGCTTTATCAGGCCTTCCTGTCTCCAAAGAAAAATATAAGGATTGATAAATTACTTAATGTGTTTGAGTGTTTGCATTCTTCTAGTGGGAATTTGGGTATCAATTAGTGATAAATACATAGGAAGCAAAACAGATGGAGATGAGGCAATTATAAACTCAAGGGAAAGTCAAAGGATGTAAAAGAAAGTAAAGGTAATAATAGTATGTTACATGGCACTGGGTTGTAAATAATTTTCATTGAGTCCAATTTAAATACTGAAGGAAGAGAAAGTGTGTGTGCCTTTAGGAGAGGTGTGCAAAGATTAAGACTTTATCTTATATAGTAGGGATTCAATAATGTCTGAAGCTGAAAAACCAAGAAATAACAGTTTAAACATGTTCATTAGACATTTGGAGGCAAATAACTGAAACAACAACAACAACAAAAGCAGCTACAAGAGTTGGAAGTGCTGGGTATATACCCCAAAGAATTGAAAGCAGGGTGCACACACACGTTCATAGCAGCATTATTCACAGCATCGAAAACGTGGAAGCAACCCAGACGCCCATCACAGATGAATGGATGAACAAAATGTGTTATATACATACAGTGGAATATTATTCAGCATTACAAAAGAAGGAAATTCTGACACATGCTACAACATGGATGAACCTTGAAGTTACTGTGTTAAGTGAAATAAGCCAGTCACAAAGGGAGAAATATTATGTGATCCCATTTACATGTAGTTCCTAGAGTAGTCAGATTCATAGAGAAAGTAGAATGGTAGTTGCCTGGGGCTGGGGCTAAGGAGGAGTGGAGTTATTATTATTAATTTTTTTTTTCTTTTTTGCGGTACACGGGCCTCTCACTGTTGTGGCCTCTCCCGCTGCGGAGCACAGGCTCAGCGGCCATGCCTCACGGGCCCAGACGCTCCGCGGCATGTGGGATCTTCCCGGACTGGGGCACGAACCCGTGTCCCCTGCATTGGCAGGCGGACTCGCAACCACTGCGCCACCAGGGAAGCCCGGGAGCTATTATTTAAGAGTTTGAGAGGATTAAAAAGTTCTGGAGACGGATAGTGGTGATGGTTAGACAACAATGTGAAATGCACCTAACGCCACTGAACTGTGGCATTTTACACTTTAAAATGGTAAATTACATATACGTTACGTATAAATTACATATACATATATTATGTGGTCCAAAATTCTGTGTATGTTACTACAATGCTTAAAAACTTGCAAGTTGTTACCTCTGGAGAAAGCGAATCAGATGGGGACGAGTAGACTGCGCTTTTCATGATATGCTTATAGAGTTTTAATTTTTAAAGCTACATAGAGATGTGTGACTTTGGTTTAAAAAGCATCTATTGATTTATGCAATTATGTGTGTGAAAGAATTTCATCCTAGGGAAGAACTGGAAGCAGCCTAAATAATTGCCATTACTATTAGTCAATAGACGATGCCATATCTCTACAGTAGAATGCGGCACAACCTCTAAAGTGACATTGAAAAGCAAGGAAATATGTTCACAGTATATCACGTGGGGGAGAGAAGGGGAAAAGGTCTCAGCAAAGCCGTTCAAGCTTTATCATCTGGTGTTTTTTGTTTATATGATTAAACTGAATGTGTTTTGTTTTCTAGAATATGTTTATGGCTGATGAGTCAGGTTATGTTTGTGGCCTTGTCATAAAAATACCCTGAATTTCATTCTTAAAGGAGGAAAACGGCAAACCAGTTAAATCTCAGGGAATTCCTACTGTATGTCCAGTTTCACGATCCTCAAATGAAGCAGCTTCCCCATACCATTCCCGACGAAGGATGCGGAAACTTCGAGATCATAATGTCCGAACTCCTTCTAACCTAGACATCCTGGAGCTCCACACGAGGGAGGTGCTCAGAAGACTGGAGATGTGTCCCTGGGAAGAGGCAAGCTGCCGTTCCATGGTCACACGGGAGACTTGGTCGTTTCTGAAAGGCCTTCAGAAGGACTATAGAAAGAGAACAGTCCGGCCGTTCTTGTTGTCTGATCTTTGCTTAGTGCTGTAGGGGTCAGCAGTGCTTCTGCTCGTGACAGGGACATGCTTCAGTGTAGAAGTAGGACGAACAGATCTCATCTGTTTGCCGACATGTTTACTGAGTGCTTACCAAGTGCCGCTTGCTCTTCTAGGCTCTGGAGAAGATACCAGAGTGAGCATAACCTAGGTCCCTGCCCTGGTGTAGCTTCCATCCTAGCTCAAGTTGGAAGGATTGAAGTCAGAGGCAGATATTAAAATAATATAATTTCAGATAACAAATGTTATGAAGAAAGAGAGCAGTAGAGCCAGAGAATAAAAGGGCTCGGGTGGCTGGCTGCTTTAGCTAAGGTGGTCAGAGAGCCTCTCAGGTGGGTGCATTTGAATGCCACTTACATAGCAGAAGAAGTCAGATGGATACACAGACTGGAGGAAGAGTATTGCAGGCAGAGGGAAGAGCAAGTGCAGAGGGCCTTTTCCTGGCCCAGCAGCAGCAGCATGGATAACTGTTAGGCTGGGAGTCTGTGAAACCCATGACTGCAGTTTGAGAAGTGATGGCCTAATGGACAAAGGGGAGAAGCAGTGGGGCAGTCATGAGCTCAACGTAGGGCCTTTGTAAAACATGCTAATGACGTGTGGTGAGGTCCATGTCATCCATGATTTTACATCTTAAGTAGAGGATAATTTAAAATGAATAAGATAGCAGTATCTCTTCATTAACATATTTAAAGAAGCTATATAGAAATGAAAACTTCCTTAAATATTTTAAATTTTGTATAATTATAGTTATACTGTTTTAAGCTTTTGTTGTTCTAAACCGCCTTAAACCCATAGCCCTCTAGGAGAAGATTTAACTTATTATAAAAGGTTCTATTTATTATTAAAGAAAACTACTGCCACGAAAAGGAAATATTCTTTATGTATTGAAAACCAGCTACTGTTGTGCCTTTATGTCGCCCGGTGGCCTTTGTTCCCCGTGATAGCAGGGTGGTGACATGTAAATTGCTGGGAGTGCCTGGTGGGAAGACTAGAGATTAGGCCAAAGACAGGGTGACTGGAAAGGACCCAGCAGCTGGCACTTCTGCAGGGAGAAGCCAGGCAAAGAGAATTCAGACACGTGAAGGCAGGACTTCTCCAGCTCTTCAGGTTTTCAGCTCTCTGCAGAGTGAAATGTCCGAATTCACTTGATAGAGATTTCATATTCTGCATTATAGAATGTGTTTTATAGTTAACTGGCCCTACAGAAGGGTGAACTGGGTTCATGCTTTGGTTTTAGGAACCATTTAGTTTTCCTGCCACACCACTGCAAACGCGCTAGCCTCGGAGGCCGCCCAGCGCTCTTCAGCGTGCAAGGCTTGGGGGGGGGGGGGGGGGGGGGTGGTATACAGTTCTTTACTTGTCAAGCTGGTATATTTGAGGGCGGAGGTTAAGTAAGTTCTGTTTTTATACTTTAAGGACATTTTGAGCTCTAAACTGAATGGAAAATTCAACAAACATCTCCAGCCATCTTCCACCGTACCTGAATGGAGAGCGAAAGATAATGATCTCCGGTTACTGCTGACAAATGGAAGGATAATTAAGTATGTGAAGTAGATCAAAGTATCCAACAGATTAGTTTCCAGTGGATTCCCTCTGTTCATTTAATCCCTGGTCCAGACCGTTGCACAGCTGCCTGAAATATGGGGAAAGTGTCTTAGTTCTCTATTTTCTCTGTAAATTAAGGAGGGGTACCGTTTGGCTACATGGTTGCACTGTTTTCTGACTCGATTGTTTTTCCCACTGTATACAGGGATGAGAGACAACCCTTTACAGATCAGAGTCTTTATACAGCAGACAGTGAAAATGAAGAGGATAAGAGAAGGACAAAAAAGGCAAAAGTGAAGATGGAAGAGAGCTCAGGAATAGAGGGGGTGGAGAATGAAGCGTCTCAGAAACCACTTAACAGTATGTTTGTTTTAATGGTCATTTTAAAGGTCTGCTCGTTACCAGTGTGCTAATAATATGTAAAGTAACTTGCTAATTTTTTTTTTTTTTTTAACTTGCTAATTTTAAAGTGCTTAAATCAGTAGTAGGATTACAATTTCTGTGTCCCTGATACTCTTTTGAGAAGTCTGGAGCATTTCTGAGTCGTCTCCCCATCAGAGAAATGCCAGATGTGACCACCAAGTGAGGGGTGGCGTCCAGGGACGGTGGTATTAGTGACGAGGATGTCGCCGTCCAGTGACACCCTCACCTAGTAACAGTTTTTACAAGAGTCACATGAAGCTCATGCATCTTACGGGCCTCTACTCCAAATAGTAAAATAATAAAGTTGCAAGTTTAATCCTATTTCTGAGATAATTTTAGCTAACATACATATGGTTTTCAGAATTAGGAGACATATATAACTGGCTGATCTGAAGCTATTAGCAGTCCGCGTATTGTTTTATTTGATTGCCTGTTGACAAGAAGGCCTCTACTTGGTTATTAATTGGTTATCATCAGTGTGATGAACAGTAACACCTCCTCCTCCTCGAGATCTTTCTTCTTTGAATGAAGTCTTCATTTTCTCAACATTTTTCAGGGCCTCCATATACCCTTCTATCTTAAAAAGGAGTTAAATATTTTAGTACTTGATAAGTAAATGTTCCAGGTGATTAACATTATTTAATCCATGTTGGATACCTCAGTCCTGCTAATTCTGGGTAAGTTTGGTATTGCTGTAGTTGCCGACTCTGCCTTTGTTCTCCTGCCGGCGGGGAGAGGCAGCTAATCAATGGAATTCATCCAACAGTTGTTGAGGAGTGCGACCGGCAAGAGAGAGGCAGGGCTGGAGCCTGCTTCAAGCTTGTTGGATTCACTGTCTACCTGAACGTGTCTTAGGCTTAGGAGAGTTTGTTTTGTTTTGTTTTCTGTTGAGAGAAATAATGCACAACGGAAAGTGAAAAGCATCTTGCAAGCTAATTTTAGTGTTAGAGGTTTTTTTCTGGAAAGAAATATAAAACAGTCAACCCACCCATATAAGGATTATATCACCATATTCAACAAATACCCCAGATGTTTTAAGAATACACGTTAATCTGGACTATCTCAGTTAGGGAGATAGTCCATGGGGGAGGAATGGAATGAAGACAATGAGAGCAGTGAGAAAAGGACAGAGCAGGAGCGGGTGAGGCATCTCACAGAGCTGGACGGGCTTTGGGTGGCACTTTATTCAAATACTAATGACTCTGTTTTTCTCTCATCATTTTCCTTCTCAGGGTTTTTAACAAGTGTGAAATCAGAACTCAGGAATCGATCATCAGAATATTCTGATATTTCTGATTCAGAAGACTCTGGACCTGATTGCACCGCACTGGTACGCCTGGAACGCTTAACTTAAAGTTATGTGACAAAAAGATGAACACCCACTTTCCTTTACCTAGGAGGAAAGTGAATGACAGCTTTCCCAAAGCCTGTCTCTCTGACCTTTGTGGCACAGGGCCTTCTCTGCAGTGGTAATTATACACACACGTCCCATCATGTGACTATTTACATCTGATCGACATAGCTTTTGTCTGATTTTGGAAAGGGTGGAGGGAGATACTCTTCTCATGTTTCTCGTATTTCTCTCATAGGTTATATTTCATTTTGCCTTAAAGAAAACCTGTACTATGTGGGTTTTTTTTAACTAAGGAATTATGTTACTGTAGTTATTAGACATTTTCACTTTTTCATATGAAATACAGAAATAATTCCATGATAATTAAGATTCTCACTTTCCCTAGACGGATAAAGTGTTTCTGGTTAGTTTGTACAGACCTGTTCAGATTTCTTATATAGATTTGCCTCCATTTAATTATCTCAGAAAAATAATTTTACCACTGAAGAGTCTGAAAGTTCAGGTGATGAAAAGAAACAAGAAATTACATCAAACTTTAAGGAAGAATCTAATTTGATGAGGAGCTTCCTTCAAAAGAGCCAGAAGCCGTCTAGGAGCGAAATTCCAGTTAAAAGGTGGGCATGCTGATGATGGTAGTCTTATTATATTGTGATATAAATGATAGGAGAACGTTTGTTGCTTTGTTTTGTTGGGGTTTTTGTTTTGTTTTAAATTTTACCAAAAATTTTATTAGAATTAAAAAGGTTCTTTTTTGCTGATTTGCCCTTTAGGGAGTGTCCTACCTCGACGAGCACAGAGGAAGAAGCTATTCAGGGCATGCTGTCTATGGCAGGGTTGCACTATTCCACGTGTTTACAAAGGCAGATACAAAGCACAGACTGCGGTGGTGAAAGACACTCTCTCCAGGATCCCAGCAGCTGCCGCAGCAGTAACCATGAGGTTAGGCAGCTGTATCGCTGTGATAAGCCAGTGGAAAGTGGTAAGAAACATAAACTATAAGTCTCTGAAAAATAACATATAAGCCCCACCTTAGTAGCCCTGTCATCCTAGTTGAGGTTAGAGATTATGAATAAGAACTGTTTATTGCACATCTTTAGTTGGAAATGGTGTTAAGCCTATTGGCAAAAGAATACATAATGTTGACAAATGTAAGATGCAAGTATAAGAACTCAAAATGTAAATTAATGGATTAAGAGTTGTGTTCACTGGCTGTCACAAGACAGTATTGTTTCCCTTTTATAAGTCGGGTCAGAGTGGAGGGAATGTTTTGGTGTCTTAATTGACGTGCTAAGTTTGAACAATCAACTCTTTTTCCTTTTGTGGAAGCAAGCTTTGAACTGTTACTGCTTGAGGATGTTCTCTCCTACTTGAAAAGGAAGCATTAGGAAAGAGACAAGACTCGGTGGCAGTATCAGTGATGCCACACAGTGTTTTCTTCTGTCTGCCTTTGGTGAAAAATTTTATTTCCCTAAAAATCTGAGGAGGATTGGAGAGAAGATGGTACCACATTAAAACTGAAGTCTGTTGTAGACATTGTGTTCATTCCCACCTAACTGTGTTAACTAAGTACCAGGAGCTTGACATTGATTTCACTTAATTCTCGAAACAACATTTTGGGTGTATGTAATGTAGCTTTAACAGGTAAAGGAAAAAAGACTTAGTGGACTTCACTTGCCCATACTTACATAGCTGTTCAGAGGTTGGAATTTGAACCCAGGACTAGACGGTTTGATCTCAAAATCTTTGCTTATTGTATAAGAGGAAACTGAGGTTTAAAGAGGTTAAGTAACTTGCCTTAAGATGCATGGATAATGGAAGAAGTTATATTCAAATCTGGGTTTGTCTGTCTTTCCACTATACCATTCTGTCTCCCTGTAATCTCTTTGTCCCTTGAAAAGAAAGCTTCTACGGAAACGCTGCCAAATGCAGGCAAACATATGCCTTTATTCTATATGGGAAAATATATTACTTTTAGAGAAAGTATTATTGCACTTGGTTTTACATCTACAGCAGATGGCCATAGAATTTGACCTAGGTCCTCCAGCATCTGGCACAAAATCCTGCCATAGAAAGACAGTCATTGGGAGAATTGAAAGAATTAACATGTTAGATTGAGAGACGGTGACTGTTTTGTTTTTGAGAGGGAAAAGAGTGTGGTGAAAGTATAGGAATAAAGAGTTAGTATATTCATTTCAAAATAAAATGTCAATATAAATTTACTTTCAATTTTAAGTAGCAGGCTAACTTTGTTCTTTATGATCCAGTTTGTGCGAAGATCGTTTAATGAAAGCTTCTCTTTAGGGTATCACGTCAAGACTGAAGATCAAGACTTGAGGAGTTCTTCCTGGATTAAACAATTTGATACAACTTCCAGATTTAATTGTCAGGTATATTCAAGGTTTGAAGCGTTCAGTTCAAATAGATTGTCATTGGCTCCGTTTTGGCTTTCTTTTTTAAGCTGCAACCAGTAATCGACCACTAGACCTGGAGAGCTTAAAAATGACCATTAAACGCACATTTGAACAGCTCTCCATTTTTAGGGATTCTGATATAATGACTGATGAAAGGCTTATGGATAGAATGTGATCTGGAAAAGAACAGTTTATTTAAGAAAACAGTTAAAAACTCCTGGCTGCCAACACCTTTAGGTTATGTCTGGCTAGAATGAAACATGAAAGGAAAAAAAAAGTACCACAAGGATCCTTTTAGTTTCTGACGTTGTTTGTCAGATTTTTTTTTTTAATGTTATTTTATTTATTTTTGGCTGTGTCGGGTCTTAGTTGCGGCGCACAGGATCTTTGTTGAGGCGCGCAGCTTCTCTCTATTTGTGGCGTGTGGGTTTTCTCTCTCTAGTTGTGGCGCGCAGACTCCAGGGCACGTGGGCTCTGTAGTTGTGGCACACAGGCTTAGTTACCCCGTGGCCTGTGGGATCTTAGTGCCCTGACCAGGGATCGAACCCACGTCCCCTGCATTGTAAGGCGGGTTCTTTACCACTGGACCACCAGGGAAGTCCCTGTCAGATATTTTTAGATACTAAATTTCTTTGAGAATTTGATGACAGTTACGGATTCTCTTTCCAGAAAAATGTCCATCATAAATATGACTTGTGCTTACATTTTCTCATGGTCTGTGCCCACCCTCACCCCAGACCATTCGTTGACTCCAGATTAAGAGTCCCTGCTCTAAGAGAAGGCACTTGATGTTTTAGGACCCTGGTGTATGAATGCTTATACCAAACAAAACGAACCCCAAATACCTTTTAAAAAAACCAAAACTTTACCAGTAGCACCATACAAGGAAAGCAGTATGACCTTTTGCTGCAGACCTTGGAAAATGACAGCCGAAGAAAGAATCAGAATTCTCATGGGGCAGAGCGGAGTCCTCAAGCCTCCCCAACCCCAAGCATTCCCTGAGTAGCAGAAATATGGGTAGTTTTTATGTTCTTCGTTTGGCTTATCTGTATTTTCTAAATACTTATCAATTACAGTTATAGTAAGAAAAAGAACCGAGTTATTTTTTCAAGGCAAGTACAAGTTCTCTTCAGGGAAGGATATGCTCCAGGGTCAAAGGTCAGCTAAGAAATCCCTGAACTATTAAGAATTCACTTATTCAGTGTATGATTTTATAGTGCCTCACTGGTTATAAAATTTATAACTCATTAGCATTATAGGATTTAGTATTAAAAGTAAGCTATTATTTAAATCTAATGGTTGTTTTTATAATTGTCTGAAAATAAAGAAGTAGGGGCAGATGATTAGCAAGATCACCTTAGAGAAGATTGAATTTCTATTGACTGTAATCTAGCGAGGTATTAGAAAGGTATGTCAAATCGAACAGCTGTTTCTTCATGCTCAACAGTATTTGTGAGACTATTTTAAAGCAAGTCTGTGTTGAATGCTGTTTTTAAAACTTACTTGACTGTTACAGAATCAGAAATTCATTTTAATACACACACACACACACTTAAAACTAGCTTCGTGAGACATCACATCTGCAGCATGCTCTTTTCGAGTTTACCTTTCCTTCTCTTTTTAATTCTGGTCAGGACCCTCTCTGTTTTGATTTCAAGACCCACCAGTCATCTGTCTATCTATCTATCTATCTATCTGTCTGTCTGTCTATCTATCTATGTTTTCTTCTCGACTTAAATTATGAGGCATCTTCAAGACTTGAATCCTTCAGCAATTCTAGGTTTTGGAATGAGATGGCCCTCAGGAGGGGTGGTTTTCTGAGGCTACTACATGTTAAGAAAACCCAAGTTCAGTAATCTATTTCTTCTCTCCCTTGAATTGTTAGTGCATAGAGAGGTTAAATACTGTACTTATCTTAAAGGAACCCTAAAAATTCGACCTTATTTCCTTCCTTCTTTTTTAGGATCTAAGTAGAGGCCAGAAATGCATCAGAAAGGAAGTTTCATCAGAAATCAGTCAGAAGGTACAAAGTAGGAATTCTGTGGACAGCAGTGGCTCAAGCCCTCAGAATGGAAAGTATATGCAGAGTTCAAGCTTGATGTCAGGGGCATGCCAGATAAGTAATGGCAGTGCAAGCCCAGAAAGGCCTGTTGGTGAAACTTCCTTTTCAGTGCCCCTTCACCCCACCAAGAGACCTGCATCAAATCCACCACCTATCAGCAACCAGGCAACAAAAGGTAACTGCTGCATGCGTGCGGGTTAAGTCCATTTCTGACTGTGTATGTTGGTGACAGTAGCAGTTTAGATAGACATCGTCTGTACCCTCACGTTGCTCACAGCCTGCTGCGTCACAGACAGCGCAGCGATAGCAGAGCGTGCACAGGTTCCTATGGGGACAGAGAAGCAGGATACCTCAGTCAACCCCGAGGAGCAGGAGGGGCTTCCTGGAGGGGGAGGTAGATCCTGGAGAGGCTGACAGTGGGTTAGCCATGCTGAGGTGGGGGAAGGGACAGGGTAGACAGCACCGAAGGCAGAGGAGACAGTGTGACCCACAGGACAACGGGGAGAAACGGCACGGGGTTATGTATGAAACTGCCCTCAGTTTCATTGCTGAAGCACAGTTTGAGGCAGGATCGGGTAAGAGCTCGTGCTGAAGAGATAGGCAGGGATCAGAGCGTGGGAGGTCTCCCAAGTCTTAGTGAAGGAGGTTGGCCCTTCCCTCTCACATGATGAGGTGGAAGAGTTTTAAGCAGTGGAATTCCAGAAGTGTGACCCTACTCATTCAAAACACCGAAAAGCCTTTGCCTACCGTGTCGCCCTCGTTTAAATCTTCCCGGTGCTGTCACCTGTAATTTTCATTGTTATTTATGCTGTTGTTGGTGTTCTGTATGTTACAGGTAAACGTCCAAAAAAAGGAATGGCAACAGCCAAACAACGTCTCGGGAAGATCCTTAAATTGAACAGAAATGGCCACGCACGTTTCTTTGTGTGACGGAGCTGCGGTTGTGGTCACTCTTCCTTTCGGAGACCGGTCTCGGGGTACGGGAGCCTGGAGCTTCCGCGCGCCCCCGCTGAAGCAGTTTGCATGTACCGTAGGGAACACTGCCTGAAGAACAAAATGAACCTGATGCTGCATTTTCACTGTGCCACACCCACTCAGCAATAACCATTTTGGACCTGGTGGGGAGAGGAAGAAGGAGGGTAGAACCTTAAAAAGAGACCTTGAACTGGAAAGGGTCTCTTGTCAGGGCTTGAATTTCATTTTGTTGTTGGTAGTGTTTTGATTTGTTTTCTGTGGTAGGGTAAAGAATTATCAATAATTTATTTAACAGATTTTTTTTTAAAGTTAACAGCTTTTAAATTCTTTCTTTTTTAAAGCTATTTATTTGGAAGATTTCTGGAGAAATATCTCACTAATTTAGATTTAAGAATGTGAAGGTTTTTAAATTATTTTTGATAGTGTGTGTGTTACATGTGGGGAAGAGCCACGGTAACAGTAACTAGTCTGGACTCTTAAATTTGCTATTCAGGTTAAAGTCTTAAACAGGGATTTGATGCATTAATTATTTTAAATTAAGATGTATATGAAAATCATTTTATTTTATATAATTCATGTGTTTTTTATAAGCTATTAGCTTCGCTTTTGCTAACATCCAAGGTGCATACTGTTATCCAGGTCGATTACCTATATCCCACCTTCCGTCTGCACTCCCCATCATTTCATAACGACACAAGACTCTTCTCTTTGCAGGGAAATACTTTCATAGCCAATGTGTAAGAACTACATAGAAGACCCCACATGTCTCATTTCATTTGACATTGCAGTTTTCTTCTAAATAGAAAAATAGGCTTCTTGCATTTTCATTTTTTGCTGATGATATCTGGGTCCCAAAGAGTACAGCTTTAATATCTTTTTCCTACTTGTGGGAAAAGTATTATAAGTTTGGTTAAATTGTCATGTTTGTAGTTTTTCAAATACATTTGTAACTACAGAGGGCCTTCTTCATACTACTGGTATTGGAGGGCAGGACCAACACCTGCCACAGAGGTTATATTTTATGACGCTTTTATTCTGTATACCTAATTTGTTGGAAAATATGAAATATGGTTTGACTTAGAATATTCAAATCTGCATAATAAGCCGTAATATAATAAGACTATACTATATTAAGTTGTATAGAAGCAAGCATGTTGGAGTAGATGATTTGGGGGTGTGTGTGTGTGTGTGTGTGTGTGTTTAGTTTTTTATTTCTTAACCTTCTAAAGAATTATTTAAGATACGTATTTGGAGTAAAATGGGTGCTTTTTGCAGTTTCTTCCATCTATCCTAACTTAACCAGTGCATAGTGAGGTTAAGTATCTGGTTGAGCTTTAAGGAATCATTTCTCTCCTTTGTGCACAACTTTTACTAAGTGCCAGTTTTCAGTTGCTTGCAATAGCTTATATTTTCCTTTTCCTCCCCCCATGACATAAAAACAAGTGATTTCTGCGGGGGGGGGGGGGGGGGGGGGGGGGGGATTTTTCCCCTTTGTTCAAAAAGAGGGCTTTTTAAAATTTCCTAAAAAAAAAAATAAGGGAAATTGGATAAAATTTATTTTTATGGAGAAGAAATACGGCCATATTATGGGTTTGTCTTTTTTTTTTTTTTACTCAGCAAGGTAGCAGGACTTTCCCTTCTGTATTAAGTATCACTTGAAGAGCTAAGAAAAAAAAAGTCTATACCATTATCTTTCATGGTCACATTCAAATGTGTATTTTCAAAGAGAAATATTTCTTACTCTGCCTCCGTTCCAATATTTCATGGAATATATATGAAATATCTTACAAATGAGCCTTTTTGGTCCAAGTGACTGGACCACTGTCTGGGTCTTATCTGGGTGTCAGGGAGAAGAATTTTTATGGGAGTACTAAATGTCTATAATAGGCCTACTTAAACTCTGTACGCTATGCCCAAACTAGGTAGAGATAGGTACAGTCAGTCATTTGTTGGTCATCAGAGCTCAAGACGTCAAAAATGTAGGTCTGCCTGTTTCTCCCACCTTCCCCACACAATATATTACTGTGATGTTTTGGTTTTCTGTAGACACCATTTTAGGGTTAAAATACACATGTTTTGGTGTTAGTTTAAGCATTGAGAATTATAATTTCTTTTTCCAGCTACATTATGATTTGGGTTCTTTTGTTGCCTTTACATTTTTCACAGCTCTGAGTATTTTTAATAACCTTTTTTTTTCTTAGCTATAAAAATGAAAATAAATAATTTATTTTTATGAATTAAAATTGTAGCCAGTATCTGCCCTGTGTACTTAGGCTGGTAAATACTAATTTTAAGTAGCCAGTATGTTGAACTTTTAAGTGAAGGAACTGTGGATTCATTTCTGGCAGTGTTAGCCCATTAACTGGCTAAGTTCAAAAAACTTTCAGTAACATGAAATAACCACTAAAACAGAATACAAGTAATCTTTTTGTGTATTGGTAAAAATCCAGCCACTGATCCAGTGACTTCCTTGTCAAACCTCTTGTAAAATCACTGGCTGTGATGCATCCCTTTATCTTGTGGAAATGACAGAAGTTTGAAGTAACAGCATCTGGACTCGACTGCAATAGACAGCCTTTCCCTCAGTCTCATTTATTATGTGTTGTATAGACCCTGCAACCTAGGAAGACACCGGTGGTGGCATTTAGCTAGTTATAAGCAAACACAAATTATGTCAAACACTTACGATTTAACATATGCAATTTTAAGTGTAGTAGTAGGTAATCATTTTCCTGTATTGATTCAAATAAGTGACTTCTGTTAACCTGGGATCCCCTGTACTGTAATTCATAACGTCACATAATATTACGCTCTCCAGTATTGATTAACGGTGTAAACTGTACAAAGCTGGCAGTTTATAATAGTTCAACACCTAGAAATACTTTGAACTTCATAAGTATCAGTTAATTTTTAAAGCATACAGAATTGAAAATTCTGACCGAAACCATCTTATAAACTCAGAAAAGCCCATCTTTATCACTACTTAGCACTGAATACTGCTTTATTTTTTTTGCTCTATTTTTTAATAATCCTAGTTATTGCCTTTTTAATGAACTCTACTGTATTTATTCATATGAGATCAGCAGGTATTTATCAGACATCTACTATGTGCCCAGCACTACTTAGTACTGTGGGGGGCATATAAAGTTGAAGCTGTATTGTTTGCTCTTGAAGGTATCTTCTCCAGGAAATAAGCAGTATTATTTTCACTTCTAAGCAAACTTAAGCAAGAGGGCCCATTCATAAAACAAAACTTTATTAGTTTTAACAGAGATACACTATACAACTGTAGAGGTAGAAGTAAAAAAAAAGTTTTTTTATATTTTCAAAATTCGAAAAACATTTCAAAAGTTAATAATTAAATGTTCGTAATCATAGGGGCATGTTATAGCATGAAAGGGAGCAAAAGACCTCGGTGTTTGTCCAAGTTCTGCCCTTTATGTTTCAGCTGTGTGACCTTGAAGAAGTCATTTATTCTTTCTGAGTCTTAGTTTTTGCATTTGTAAATTTGGATCAAAATGCAGTTAAGAAAAACACAGAAAAGCATTCCTTAATCTATTAACACTTCATATTTGCAGAGGATTTATCATTATTTAAGTTACAGCTGACAACAAATGCACATTTATATGCTTTTTTTTTTTTTTTTTAGCGGTACGCGGGCCTCTAACTCTTGTGGCCTCTCCCGTTGCGGAGCACAGGCTCCGGACGCTCAGGCTCAGCGGCCATGGCTCACGGGCCCAGCCGCTCTGCGGCATGTGGGATCTTCCCAAACCGGGGCACGAACCCGTGTCCCCTGCATCAGCAGGCGGACTCTCAACCACTGTGCCACCAGGGAAGCCCTATATGCATTTTTAAATGAAAACTGCTGTTACTCATAAAATTTGCTTCATATCAAATATATGCCCAGAACTTGCTATCTAAAAAATCTGAAGAATCTCTAACAAGATGCTGAATTAAAGTCAAAATCAGTGCATGAAGTGAAAGAAAAAGGAATGAGATACTTTATGGATAAGAGTGAGAATGTTTATCCTCAAGTAATCATTAAGATGATTTAAAGTAATTAAAAGATAATTTTAGGTTTTTCTCAAAGAGTACTGCTTCATAGATTCTGCATACTCTTCAGGGCACTAGCATAAGGTAAAATAAGTCATGGAATGAAAATGATTTAACAACCATCCATGGTACTAGAGCAGGAAAATAAGATGGTAGATAGATGGGGATCAGCAAAGACAGCTCTGAGTTGGCCAACCATGGCTCGTTGGGTAGAGAGAGAAACAAACCACTGTAGTGTAGGGAGACTCGGCCAGATTCTGCTTTTTTCAAGAAATGCTCTTTATAGTGATTAGTCAACTCCCCAAAGAGCTGATGAATAATTGTATGGCCCAGTATACTACTGCCAGAAGTAGCTATTGCAGTATGTAAGCATTTTATGATTTCATATTAAGAGATGAGGGTTTTATATAAATTTGAAATTTTTTCAAAAGTTCGTTTTTCACGTTAATTATTAAGCTAATTGCTTCCTCCAAAAAGAGAAGTTAAAGATCACCAGTCATTTTCAGATGCCGTAGACCTTCATCTAAAGCAGTTTTGAGAAGGTTGAACATCAGATCTTTAGCTTAAGAAGAGAGACAAATGAAACCCAGCGAGGGCAGTGACTCGCCTGGGGTCACAGTGGATCCCAAACCTCTAGTACTTTGCTTCCTACAACAGCCCCTGTTCTGTGACACTGTGAGGCCTCTGCTCATCCTGTGGCGGGTGATGTTGATACACTTTCTAGAAGCCAGGTGGAAAGAAAGGGGAAGAAGTCACATACTACTCACTACATTGCTGTTGAACGTAATGTAATTTTAATAATGGAGCCTTACTAAAAGCCCTTCCGTTATTTTTGCTTTTTTTTTTTCAGTGAACGTCATGCCGTAAGTCAAATATTTGCTATCCCTTACATACAAATTTTTTAAGTTAAGGACGTTAAGAAGCAAATGCCTGTTTTCAAAGCAATTAGCTTATTGTGACTGTGGTTTTATTCTGTTATGGTGGGGTTTTTTCCCCTTTAATGGGTATGGGAAAATAATACTCATTAAGCTGCATTCTACCCCTTAGAGTCTCCCTCTCACCCTTCCTGTCCTTCCTCGTGTCCTGAAGCTTTGTCTTAACAAGCGCAACATTACATTTTCTTTGTTAAAGCCTTTTTGAAACTGTATTCAGTGATTCTTCCAACAAGTTTATCTGCTCTGCACTATTTCACTAATAAACCCTGGCTACCACGTAGCCCCTGACCTCCAAGTAGCTTACCTATGCAAGACCTGTGACATCCTGAATTCACTTTTCTTTATTTCAGAAAGCACCCCTAAATGGAACTTAATCAAAGATAAACCTTGTCTCCACCCAGTTTTATTTTGGCCATTTCCTATTCAAAATGTCAGCTATTTTCCCCCAAGATTTTTCACCAAAACAGTGATCATAAGTGCTGGAATAGATACTATTTTGCAGGAATAAAATAACCCAGAAATACTCTTATATTTCTTTGGTGGATTTTGGTTGGTAACTGTTACCAGCAGGAGGTGTAATGTATAATGAGGAGTTGATTCCTTGCTTAGAATCATTTCTTCCCTCTAAGAGTCATAGGATTCACCTTTTATTTTTACAAAGCATACATGTAACTTCCACGTTATAGTCAGGGACCTGAGGTGTAACTTGCTAAGTGAACCCCAAGGTTATTTTATCTTGCAAAAGAAACCTAAACCAAACTAAGGGCCTTACATTTATGGTTTAGACTGAATCAAAAGCTGTAACCTCAGTTTTTCCGAAAACAGCTTCTGACTGCAAAGCAAGTCGTGCAGTTGTTAGGTATGAAATAGCACTGATCAGGAAATGCACATGCGTCTGGGCAGACTGCATTTCCTTCCGAAAAGACTTTTCTACTTTTAATATAAATTAAGCCATAACAGTTTCATGCTGTGGAAAGAGGGTGAAAAGGTTCATTTTAATGAGATTATATGATATGAACTTTCACATTTACTGTGAAATGTCGAACTTTGCCAGTGCTTCAGCAGGTTTGTTTGATTTTGGGGGGGGGGGGGGGAGGGTAAAGGGTGGTGACAGGGAGGGGTAGTATTGGTTTTAGGGGGTTTAAATCTGTGAAATTTGAAAAGGGACAGTTGTTGGCTATGGTATTTACTAGTTTTGTAGTAATGTTTTGCTAGCCTGACTGACTTTCCTGAGCTGATTTTCATGCCCATGGTCCCAGGTGACTGTTAGCCTTTCTCGTTCGGGGTGTCTGCAGAGTAGTGTCTTGTTGTGTGGATAGGCGGTCAGTGTGTGTGCACATGTGTGTCCTTTGGATAGAGAAGCACACTGTGTGACGACAGAGTGAAGTGTGGCTGGGAAGTGGGATGCTGAAGCTTTAAGAGCATTTTTTTTCGATTCATAACAGTATTTCCCATCTTTTGCCTGCAGGCAGGGAAAGTGTACAGTATTTATTTTGTTTCTGTTTTAAATTTGTAAGTTTTTAAGTAGCTTACATTGGTTATTATAGGGGAGGACAAGTGACTTGTTTAAAGTTGTATTTGGTATTCCTACTTTCCAATTTCTGTACTTTAAAATATTGAAATTAAAATTGGTATTAATTCTGTTCTGATTTTTTTTTTAGCACTCGGTGTATTTTTTGCTTATTTTGTTTGAAAGCATAAATGTTGAAAGTTATATAAAATGTGTCTTTGAAAGAAAAAAATCTGAATTCTATATCCAGCTCTGACTTTCTGTTCCCTTTTTCTGCTTATTGAGTCTTGGGAGAATTATTTAAGAATGTGAAAAACTGTGTCAAACTTATGCTCCTTACGAGTTCTGAAGGTTTCAACGTAAAAAGTAATGCGTCTTATTGCTTTATGGGATGCGCTGCTGGGGAAGCAGTTGCTGAAACAGAGGAACACAGGGGTGACTGGGGAGAAAAGGCTGCTCTGTGGCCACGGGTGCGGGTGCTTCCCGACGGTCACTTAAGAGCCTTCGTTGTCCCCAGCCTGGGCCCCCCCGCAGACGTTTCCTGAGCACCTGCAGAGTCCCGGGCCCAGCTCTAGTGCCAGAGCTACAGGGTGAACAAACAGCCCCAGTTCTCAGGGAGCTTCTGTGGCTGTGAAAGGCGAGGGAGGGCGAGGCGCCCTGGGCCTGGCTGCCTCGTGCAGGTGAGGGCAGAAGTGCAAGTTTACCGAGGAGGACCAGGGGCCTTCTGGACACGGTGCTCTGGGGGCTCCCAGCTCCAGGCCTGGGGGGATCTGAGTGTGCCGGTACAGAAGACCCAGGAAGCAGGACCAGTGGGAGCGGCGCTTCAGGGCGGAAGAGGGGCCTGCGAAGGGAGCGGGGAGGAGCAGCCCGAGTGGCGCTGGTTTCTGGAAGGCAAGGCAACCGAAGGGCCTGAGGCCTCAGCTCTTTCACTGCCCAATACCTGCAAGAGCGTAGGGGGTGCAGAGGGCACACACCTCAACAGCCTCACAGGAGTGCTACCCAGGGCACGTTTACACCTCCCCTTTCTACTTCCTGGCCTGCTTTCGTCCAGCTGATGGAAACCCGGATCTGAACAAATCTGTTCTTTGGTAAAAATCCGCATACTGTCTGTAATGAAGGGGTGTTGACCCTTCATTAAGCTCGTCTGTTAGAATTGATGATCAGGACGTGCTGTCCTTAGACTTTAGCCGGATTTCCGTGTTTCTGCCAAGCAGTGAGATGGTGAGATACACCAGTAGGGATGCGGGGCGTCGGAGAGTGCGGGAGGGGTGGCGTCTTAAGTCCTATGCAGGCAGGCAGGGTTTGGAAGAGGAGCCCTCGGTATCTTTGCTTGAGTCCTCACTGTGGACCACGCATATTTTCCTTTCTTCCTCACAGCAGCCCAACGAGCCAGGTGCTGTCCTTCCCATCCTGCAGATGGAACCGAGGCCAGAGGGTAAATGACGTGTCCGGGTTCACACTGCTAATGAGTAGGACTGAGACTGTAATCAAAGCCCAACTCTAAAGGCCATGTTATTTCTCTGCTTATTTTCAATTAATGTGTACTTTCAGTTATTGAAAAGGAATAGATGGTCTTTAGGAAAGGTTTTGTTCAAAAATTGTCTTTGTAGGCACCCATTCTGAATCAAAAATGTATTTTCCTACAGACGTTTCCTGTCACTCAACTAAAGTTTTGAGTCTGTACTTCCCCAGGAGCTGGGCACACATGAAAGAGTGCCGTTTCTCTTCCAGGACCTCACCTTCTAGTGAAGTTCGGGCTGTACACAAGGGACACGTGACACATGAACCGAGCATGAATTCCCACGGTTGCGGTCCCCAGGGTCTGCACAGAGGCCGTGCCTGTGCACCCTCCGCGGGCCTGCGCAGCCCCTGCGGGATGCAAGGATACGGGGATGTGCTGATGCCTCCCGCGCTGCCCCTTGGCCCTGGTGAGTGGCTCGGCCCAGGTGAGGAAGGAGAAAGAGAAAAACGGTTCTGGGTTCTGCCGGCGCGAACGCCTTCCGGACCCTGGCTCCTCTCTCACCCCCACTCCCATCCACGTCTGTCTCCTCATCTTCATTCGCTTTCGGGCTCCCCCATCTCCCCTTCCTTGCCGGGCTCTTCCCACCCTCGGTCCCAGAAATACTCTTTAGGCTTTTTGAAGGGCTAATTCTGAAGTTTCGTAGATTCCCATTCCTTCCATGCCAGAGCTGGAGAACAATAAAGGGCCTAAAAATAGACAGTAATATGTGTAAATTTCCTAAGTTTTTCTAAGGCAAATATAACCTGGGACAAAAGATTCACAAGAATAGTAAGAAATAGTATTTGACCTTTCCCTACGCATTTATTCTAGAAGCTTCCATACCTAGGGAACTTGAGATACATTTCAGGTTCTGGAATAATGCACACCAAGTTAGTGGTGGCCGGTGACCTCTGGGGACTGGGAATAGGGATGGGGAGATCACTGAGGCTGGGAACTTGCACACACTTTGGTTTAATGATTTTTGTTTTCTAATTCAAATAAAGTATCAAATCTATAATTAAAAAAGACAAATGTGTTCTACCACAGGGTATGGATTGGCTGCCCTAAGGAGGCTAATTGTACCATGGTACACATTCACACCCATCAGAAGTCAGGCCCTGCTGCTCCCTGGGGTTCTGCACTGGTGACCTAGCAGGGCTGGGCTGGGTCAGGATGCTGCACGGGACACAGCAGGTCACCAGGGGGGAAACCCTCCCTCCTCCCCAGCTCTCAGCCTTGTCCGTGCTCCCATCGCTGTGCTTCTCACTCAGCAGTGTCCCTTGTTTTGTCTGAACAACCAGCCTGCGTTTAGGCCTAGGACTACATGTATTACTCTCCTGTCATCAGCACCTCCCCAGAGTTTGGCATAAATCTCACTAAAAATACATTGAATAGACACATGAACAAACACAGATAGTCCTCATTTTCATGATTCCCTCCCCCAATCCCTCCCTCCCTTAGAACCTGAAACAAAACTTTATGGTAATGCTTTGCAAACTTTACTGTATATAGGTGTGACTTGATTTGAAAATACAGATTATACTAATGGTTATTGTGTAGAACTACAAAACAGATTAATTAGGTTAAGAAAGGATTTTTTTTTTTTTTTCCTACCAAGAGGAAAGGAAAACGTGCTTCCTGAAGGAGTTACTGGATTCCACGGAGCAGTATTTTCAGAGCTTTGAGGCAGGACCCTTCATGGGTGCTGCTTGCTGTGCTTTAACTCCTGGGCAGGGTGATGATAAGGGAAGGGATTGCTGTGTACTCCCCTCCTACCCAGAGACCGGCTCTGTGTAAGGCAGGGTATTGGGAGGGCAGTGTTGTCAAGCCACACAACAACAAAGTCCTGTTATACGGTTGCTCAGACAATGAGACTCCCACTTCCCCATGATACACACTAAAGAGGGGTCATGCAGTGACTGTTCCCAGAACAACTGAGGTTTGCCCACGGTGACTGCTACTTCCCACAAACAGTAGAAGGACCTTTCAAAACAGGCTCAGTCCCTATAAAAGGATTTAATTGCCTCATAAGCAAGTCTCTACTATGTTTCAAGTCACCACTCACCATCTTCTATCCTCCCAACTCTTTTACCTTCTGTGTCTTCACTGTCATTTGTGTAATTTGTATTATTGTCTTTATTTATTTATTGTCTTTATCACGTGTCATGTATTCCCCCAGGTTTTCATTCCTGCAATGGTTTTTTTGGTCTAACTTGGATGTCCAACCCCTGATCTTTCCCACTATCTCTTACACTCCCTTCACCTTCGCTCTCCTTCCAACCCAGATTGGTTTCCATGATCTATTAAGACAGTTTCCCCTTTGCAAAGGCCCTCTACAACTTGTCCTGATCTCCCTCCAAGTTGTTCTCAAAAGGTAAAACCCCAATCCAAGTTGAACCCAACTTCCCTGCAACTCAGAAGCAACTAATCTCTGCTGGAAAAAAAACCAATCGCATAACCAGGTTGACTGGTTTAAGTTTAAATTTATGATCCTCAGACTTACATGGGACTTAATATTGTCTAGCACGCCTGTGTTTTTGTGGGAAACTTGCTCTTCCATTCTCTGAAACAAGCTACGATCCCGGGCTGACATCTTCTCCCTCCCTGGTCTCCACTCTAGCCCCACTTGCAGCTGAGAATCCTTCTTCACATCTCACTTGGAAAATAGAAGCCTGAATTAGTTTCCCGGGCTGCAAGAACGAATTACCACAAACTGGGCTTAACACAACAGAAATCTATTCTCTCACAGTTCTGGAGGCTAGAATCTGAAATCAAGATGTCGGCTGGGCTGTGCTTCCTCTGAAGGCTCCAAAGAATCCTTCCTTGCCTCTTCCTAGCTTCTAGTGACTGGTGGCAGTCCTTAGCCTTCCTGGATTTGTAGGCATCATTACAATCTATGCCTCCATTGCTATATTGTAAGCAGATAAGGTAGGGGATCCCTGGAGAAAGAAAACCAGGCATGGCTTTCTTTTTTTTTTTTGGCCACACTGTGTGGCATACGGGATCTCAGTTCCCCGAACAGGGATTGAACCCGTGCCTGCTGCACTGGGAGTGTGGAGTCTTAACCACTGGACTGCAAGGGAAGTCCCATGGCATGGCTTTCTTGACACGAGAGAAACCATTTTAGGCCTAAGCCATTTTGAGATCTAGGCCTGGACACAATGCTTGCCCTTGAACAGGTCTCAGTAATTATGGTCTTAAGGGAACAAAAGAACGAACTGTCATTAGGCAAGAGAAGTAACAAGAGCAAAGATAACAAATCAGTTGTAAAGACTCCCAGTTCTGTTTCAATGGTAAAGACTAGTCTGAAGCACTTACTTGAGCTGTTTTGCAGAATTTAAACCCCCCTCAGGTGCTCAACCACCAGATAAACTGGAACCTAAGGGATGATACTGTTGACTTTTCTGAACCTCATGACTTCAATTAACTAAAGCTTGGGCTCTGTCAACTTGGCCCCAATTCTATGCTGACTTCTGCTCAAGCCCTTTCATGAACATGCACTTACCCTTAGCTTAAAACTTCCCCAATTTTGCTGTTTGGGGAGACAGTGCTTTGCGAAAGCTCTCCCGTGTTCTCCTTACTTGCTGCAGGTAATAAATCCTTCCTTCTCCCAGTCGATCTTTGGCTTGGTTGTATCTTTTGGCTCAACACCCAACCAAGAAACGAACCCAGTTTTCGGATAATAGCATCATCCTTCCTTTCTTTTTTAAAACATGTTATTTTTATTACAAAACAATACTAAAACCACAATTAAAATTTAAAAGTTAAGGGAATTCCCTGGCGGTCCAATGGTTAGGACTCAGTGCTTTCATGGAGGGTGGGGCCCAGGTTCAATCCCTGTTCCAGGAACTAAGATCCCACAAGCCTCTTGGTGTGGCCAAAAATAAATAAATAAATAAAATTTAAAAGTTAAAAATAAAATTTTATTAATAATTTTTTACACAGTTAAAAAAATTTACCCAGCAATCCCACCACTGGGTATATACCCAGAGATAAACATAATTCAAAAAGACACATGCACCCCAGTGTTCATTGCAGCACTATTTACAATAGCCAGGACATGGAAGCAACCTAAGTGTCCATCAACAGATGAATGGATAAAGAAGATGTGGCACATATATACAGTGGAATATTACTCAGCCATAAAAAGGAACGAAATTGGGTCATTTGTAGAGACGTGGATGAACCTAGAGACTGTCATACAGAGTGAAGTAAGTCAGAAAGAGAAAAACAAATATTGTATATTAACACATATATG